TAAATAAATAAATATATATATATATATATATACACAAATAAGTATATAAAAAAAAATGTATAAATAAATATATAATAAATATAGACATATATATAAAAAAATATAAAATAAATATATACATATATATATATAACTGAATATACAAATAAATATATATATAAATATACAATAAATATAAAAATATGTAAATATATAAATAAATACATTATATATAAAATAATATATATATATATATATATATCTGTATGTATGAATCTGTATATCTGTATTTTAACAACATCTATCAGTGCTGCATACTTTCGAATCAACGATTCGAAAAGTCCAAAAAAAGTCCAAAAGTGTATGTACTGCGCATGACTGGACTACACAGGCAAAGCTCCCCGGTGTGTTATTCATTTGCATCTACTAGGCCAAAAAATATAGGCTAGGCCTACGTGTTTGCAAAACTGGAAAAAAAAAAAAAAATTAATGTATGGCTCGCATGACTCGCTGGCTCGCACTTTGGCACTACTCTAGAGTAGGATAAGGCTAGCCTAGATTACTCCTAGCGCCGTCGAGACAAGTCCGAGTTTACACCTTGCATACAATATTGTGGTCTAGAAATCAAATTAGCAAAAATATTTTAAAACATAGAAGCGTAACATATTTAAAATACATAAAAGTCTATTTAGATGGGTCAACAATTTGTGATACATTTTCAAAAATGGAGTACAGTACTAATCAAACTTTATTACCATACATTGTAGACTAAAGGGGTGTATAAAGTTGGAAATGTCACATCCGTTTTTTTTAAATCTACCCCCTCCAAATAAAAAACATTTTGAACAGTAAATGTCCTGTGGTGTTTATTAAAATAAAATGATGGTACAGTACAAATTATAGTTTTCTGATTGTAATATAGATGCCAAATTTAATATAAAAACAAAGGTACATGGATGATGAAATAATAAAAAGATTCTGCCTGTTTTAGTACAAATTTTTTTGTTGACTTAAAAAATAGGATTACAATTTGAACATGCAATTTAACTTTTATGTCTTGAATATTTAATATTTCACATATTGTCTATGTTTTATCGAGGGTCCTTAATGATCAATTCCTGCAAGAACTAGATAGGTCACCCTCTTTAAAAATGGTAATAAATAAATAATTATAACAATAATAATAATGAGAATGATGATAATAATATAGGTGGGCATTTAATTTGTGGATGTGAATAATATAAAAACAATACACAGATTAACATTGCAACGTAGAAGAAACATAGTAAAAACGAGCGTTGGTACCGTGTATGCCAGTCTACAACAAGCGTCGCCTAAATGTAATAATTAGCACGCTGAAATAGGCTAGTAAATAAGTTTAACTGGGTTCGTAAATAATATTGGCCTCAAAATATTGTGGCTGAGACATGGGCCGATTAAACGTTGAAATAGGAAACCTAGAAATATAGTAAAAACGCTGAATAGTAATACTCGAGCGTCGCGACACACAGACGTTGGTACTGTACGTGTAGGTTAGTCTACAAACGTCGCCTAAAGTAATTGATTTTACCCTGCAGAACGAAAGAAGGAAACTCCGCTTTTCAGTCGTCTTAGGCCCTTGTTTTTTGACAAACAATGACCTTTCATAGGTCAAATTGCTGTCAAGAATATGAATTGGCTGCTTCGCAGCAATAACCTTTTAGTAACATGATATGGTGGCTAATAATCTTTTTCCCTCAATTGTAGAAACAAATCACTGTATAGTTCAGTAAATATTGTAAATAAAAGACTAAAAAAAAGCAATAATTTCATTAAAATATAAAAGTTCTTTATGCATAACAAAATAACACTGTAACAATTTGGGACATTCCCATTATTACATGGTTTCACAAACTAGACGCAAATAAAGATCATTTTAAACACTTTACTGTAAAAGTTGTGGTAAAAAAAATGCTCTGATAAAGAACTTATCTATTCAGGAATAATCAAATGGTGCACACCTGACTAGACAATACATTAAGTAGGACCACTAGAAAATTGAAACTACCACCAATTTCAACTAGTAAAATAAAAGACCTACCAGTAGTTAAACAAAGGAAGATGGTCTTTAAATAATTGAAAGCAGTTTTGAAATTGCAGGGTTTTAAATGATCATATTAAAATTGTTGGACAATGATAATTGAAACACAAATAATGGAAATGATCAGCATTACAACATTTGAAAAGCCATAATTATTTAGAAGCATAACATTGACAGAAATTCACAATTTGCAGCTTCAATGTCACATACATTTAGTTTCAATATTAAAATAACAGTAAATAAAATACTGGTATTTAAAAATGATGACAAACGAAAAAGTGATGCACTTAAAATCCAAAATGGCCACCATGGACCAATTCCAAAATTGCCCCCATGGACCAATTCCAAAATTGCCACCATGGACCATTTCCAAAATTGCCATTTGTTCCAACTTTACTATTAAGAATTATTAGGGCCTAGAATTAAAAAATACTGTATCTTAAACCAGTAGAAATACTGTACTAGGGTTGTGAAGACATGTCATATATTAAACACAGCTGAATATTTACAAAAATTTAAATGGTATTACTGGGTTATTATATCTTATTACTTATTACAGGATAAATGATTGTGATACTGTATTATGTTTATTAAAGATCTAAGTTTGTAAAGTTCTATATAGAATTATTAATGTGATTTAAATTTACATATTTTACTTAACTGTATTTTACCATAATGTCAATTGAATATTAATTTTCTTATTTTATATTTGAGATGACAAATTTCATATTACTTTAAGGTACAAAATCTCATCTTCAATCAAACAATAATAAAACATTGAATTCACTTCTACTGGTACCTCTAAAAACAGTTGTCAGAATCCTAAATAGTTAGTCAATTCAAGAATAAAGAACACACATTTATATTTACTATGAACCTAGTTGATTCCAATCTATCTTTGAATGTGCTTTTTTATTTCTTGGTGTTTTAGTTTTTGTTGTAATTTTATTAAATTTGGTTTAAAATAGGACAAGTAAATCATATTAAAAGGACATGGGAATTAGGGTCTATTAGGTAGGTCTAGTTCTTAAATTCAATGCTCTTCCCATGAATTTGAGTTGATAAAATGATGACAGGGCTAAATCTAGGTTAAATTTAAACTTGTATAAAAGAAAATGTGAAATGTTGACCATAGATTTTTGAGATTTGGGTGTAATGGGCTTGGACAGCACAAAGGTTTTTTTTAAAAACATTTTCTTGCTCACAATCAATTATTATGTCTACTCCACCCAACACATCTTTGTTAATTGTTATCAATAAAATCAGTGAATCATGTCAAGCTTGTCTCCATGGTTACAATAGAATTACTGATAATGACATAATTAATGTCCAAAATATTGAATCCCAACATAATTGCATGCATTTCAATACTTGGAGTATGTATTATACTATCTTATCTGAGATTATTCAGTGGATCTTTCAATTTTCATAGAATTACTCCAATTGAAATCTTCACTCAAGAGTTTAAACGGTGTGATGGTAACATTATTTTAATCAGTTATGTGACGAGAAAGTAAAGGCTTTAAAAAACTTTTTCTAAAGATCGGATGTTCCATCCTTTGTTTTATGCTGGGAAGGAGGTGTTGATGTACATTTTAGTTTGGTGTCTTTGAAATTAGTTGTTGTGTCCCCTTATAGCTGCGAATGACTTGGGGACTTGTGATGTATTGTTTTATTAGTCAATAACAGTCCCTTTGAAGTTAGTTGTTGTGTCCTCTCTCAACTACGGCTGGCTTGGGGGCTTGTGATGTACAATATATTGTTTTACAGTAAATATTAATTTCATTTCATTTATTTAATTATTTACAATAATTATTCCTTCAAATAGATAAAACATCATAAGTTAAATATTAAAAAATATATCTATACAATGAGCATTATTTAAAAGGAATTTAAAATATTCAGATGAAGAATTAAAATTTATTTTAAAATAAATTCAATGTTAAATGTCAAATATAAAGCACCCAAGTAAACAATTTCATAAAATATATAAAAATAAAAATGTAAGCCATTGCGCTTAGCAGATTAAAAAAAACACGACTAATTTAATTACAAAATTTAAAATTGTACGTTTAAAATTATTTGTCATGTCATCTTCTTAATCTTAGCTACGGTTGTAATTCTGTATTGGGTACGATGTATAATTTTTGTTTTAGGGCTTACACTTTTTACAGTCATTTGTCTTGCTATAAGAATTGAATTCATGACAACTTCTTGATATCAGAATTTTACGAATACATACTACTAGGCTAGGCCTACTGTATGCTTGGCTATTCTAGGCTCCAATTTAAGCTTACTGATATACTGTACTGTTTAGCTAGCCTACTGTAGGCTTACTAATTCTTAGGCCCAGGCTAGTTACAGTCCGACGAGGGCCTAGGCCCTACAGTACTGGAGGGAGGCCTAGTTAGCTAGATAATACTAATAGAGAGAGAGCCTGGCCTGGGCCTAGATAGCCAGGTTAGGGGCTGGCTAGCTAGGCCCTACCTATCGAAGACCAAGCCTAGGCCAAGGTAGAAATAGAAAGAATTAGTTGGCTAGCCTCTAGGCTAGGCCTATTTTGTATTTAGGCCTAGGGCCTATATTCAGTTTGACAACGTATTACTGTTTTCTAACCTGACTTTGGCTGGCGGTATCCAACTGGGAAGCCTGGCTCTGTTGGGTTTGAGTTTGCGAAGGTAGTGTAAAGTCCGTAAAGTCGTATTCTGAACCTTGAGTATCTGCCCCTATCAAATCTCCTTCATCAGGGTCCAGGAAAGTGAGTGTTTGAGCGGTTGGTCCGTAGGCATCATCACTCATTTTAACGCCTTTCCTACTCAATAAAATCCTCCAATTTATTTAACATCGAATGTGTAAAGTATAATGAATTAACAGTTCTGATAAATCATAAAATAAAGTTAATGTAATTCCCAAACCTCGTAAAATACAGAGTCCTTAAACAGCAACAGTCCTAAAAATTCCCTCTGCATAAAAATGACACGACACGGACACGGCACTGAATAATGTGACGAAACAGCGCAGACTTCAGTGACGTCATCAGTCGAGCTCTTTATTTTCAATTTTTCAGCATGGTTTTGAATACATTAACACGCTGCGTTTTGTCAAAGTTACAAAACTTTAAAAACTACTGCTGTGTAATAATTTTTTTTCTGTTATTTCAAAACTGAAACAACATTAACAATCTATGAACTGAAAATGACATAATGTATGTGTGCGAGATCTCTATTTTTTTTTTAGAAAAGTTGCCAGGTTCATGATGAGTAAATTAACCTCACGGGTTTAGGCCTGGGCCTATTTTTTTAAATGAAAATATGAATTTAATTTACACAGTGAGGTATAAAATACCTCCCTGATTTACGATAAATTATACGAAGCCTACATCCACCATATTTTTATTATTTTTTTATAATAATGCTCAGTGGAATTTATTCAGCTTTATGTTCCTTCAAACCAGTTTTGTTGTTTGAAAATCAAGCGCCATCATGCCAAACGCATGTGCAGTGCAGGTGGATGGATCGGTGTTTACAAATTTCCGAACCGAACCGAACTGCTGTGCTAGGAATTCCATTTTGAACCAATTAAGTGCCTCACCAGTGTTTTTTTTCCTGGCCTAATCTTGAATGGTGTGGAATATTTACGTATTATTTTCTTCATCTAGCGCCTTAATGACTTGATATATAGATAGTTTTGTATTTGTATTTCAAATTCATTCTTTTTAAACAGAGAGTAGGCGTTGTGCCTAGGCCTAGTAGGCTAGGCCTAGCCTAGTCGGGTAGGCCTGGCCAAGGCCTGCAGACCTAAAGTAGGCTACGCCTAGCCAACTAAATTAGCTGTGCTTACCTCTGTTCGTTCAGGCACGGTAAAACACGAATGTAGGCTGTGCCTAAGATAAGCGTAGCTGTAGTAGGGGCCTAAGTATTTATATGAACACTAATTTTTGACGTAAGACTCCAGTTTTGGTGACCTTGTTGTGCACATTTTGTTCCTTTTGCTCAACTTGAGATGCTGACGTATTTTCGAAGTCGTTTCAAACTTTGCACGCAGTGTGCAAACTGCGCAAGGATTCTTTCAGCAGTTGTGGTAAAATGTAACATTTATATTTATGAACGGATATTGATATTAACTTATTATTAGATTATAATATCGATTCAACATAATATAATGATAATGTGTTTTTTGGGAGATACAGTAAACGGAAATCCCGATGTTATCGATCTGAAAATTTACAATTGATAAAAGATAGGCCCCTGGGATAGGCCATCCATGTTCTATGTTTGACACACGGCACTGTTGGTAATTATTGAATTAATTATTAAAGATATACCACTTCTAAAAAGCTATTTTACAGATTCATCTGGTCTAGGCCTAGCCATGCCTCCTAAACTAGGGCCTAGGCTAGGCGTGTTACCTAAGGAGTAACTGTACATTGAAACCCATTCAGGCTTTTATTTGTCAACTAATGAAATAAACCTTGCAAGATGTATGTAGGCAAATTATATAGGACTTTATTTTTATAACACTTTTCAATTTACAGGATAAGATTCCTGTACGTGGTTTTACTTATTATGAAATAGAAATCATCATCCAAAAATCATGAGAATGTGTCTGTGCAGTTTTAAACAATATTTCCGGCTCAAAATTAGTAAACCGGTCAAATTGTGCACTGCAGTTTCTTTTCTCAATAGCTTTTAAATATCAAGTTATTAATCAATTCTTTTACAAATAAATATTCTCTTGAACATTGAACAGAATCCATCACCGTTGTTATTTTCTGTGAGATTTATGGATATTATTGAGGTATTCATTGTATCACACCAACTTCTACCCACGTCAACTTGTACCCACCTGGAAACTCGTACCCACAATTGAACTTTGGCATACTCTTATACAAACTTTGTCTAGCATGTAGACAACTACATATAGCCCATAATTATTCTGTTAAATAGTTCTTATATACAGAGTACTACAAAACAGGCCTAACAGAGTAATAATTCTTATATAATATTAACTATGCATGGGCCTAATGAGTATTATAAGTCAATCATGACGTCATCACTGCAACTCCCAATGTTATTTGCCTATCCCCCCACAGTCCACTAATTTTTCTATTAGTGGACGCTTGGCTTGATTTTTATAGGATTGTGTGCAAAAACAAAAAGGTAATTTTTTCGTCACCGCGATGAAAATTGAATTGCAATTGAAAATTACTTTCGTAAATCAGGGTTACTAATTAGAACCCAAAGAAAGCTACTTCAAATTCAATATTAAGTATGAACAGTTCAGGAATGTCTTAAATCAATGAACCCTAATAAACTAAGCAAACTGAACGTTTAATAGGAATATTCTAGACCTATTAAAGACTAGGAAGGACTATGGCCAGGCAGGAGGCCCTCCTACTAGTACAAGTCCTAGGCCGTAGACTAGCGTAGTTACCGGCGTAGTTATGAAATCATAGCACGATTTTTACCTTCCTGCACTGACCAAAAAGTCTGACTTTATTCTCTCTCGAATGCTTTAAGAGATGTTTATTTCTTTGATTGTCTATCAAAATAGCATTACAAACAATTAGTTCTAAGACAAAACAAATACGCGAAACAAATACAATAGCTAGTTATTCATCGTATCCGTACTCTGTGTAGTTAACGTTTGCAGGAGCACAAATCAGCATACAAACAGCTAAATGTAAACATGCACGCAGTATACCGGTCATATCACTATAGCAACCGATGACTGTTTCAACAGCTGGTTATCAAAACTAACGTTAAAAGATGGCGATTGACTTTTATAAAGCAATTAGTAAAGCATGCATCATACACTAGCAGAAAATTATTATACTTGGGTTAGATTTAATGCATTCAAAAATTTCCTTCGGGGCCTTGTAGGCCCTCAAGAAATTTTGACAAGCATTAAATCTAACCTTCGTATAATAATTTTCCTATAGTGTACTATGCGGAGCTCTGCTAATTGCTTAACAGAATTTATGTTGTTAAATATGCTTATAAACTATGATGGTTAAGAAAAAATATTTTTATTATTAAATACATACAACTTTAAAAACTTTTTATAAATGTTAAATACTGTATTGTAGCACACTAAACATTCAAAAACTAGAATCTAATTCCACTAAGGAGCGTAGTGAAGAGGAATTAAAATATGGCTTAAAATGTTTGTTTCCGTATTTTATAGGTAGTTTAAAGAATGTATCATCAACGTCCCTATGTCAACCCAAATGGCTTCATCCTACGCACACCGGTCTACCAACAACAAGGTGGTCACCAAACAGCGAACAGAACAAGGACTTCAACTATCAGTTACCCTCCACCAGTTATACTAAGCCAACAGAAGATGATGTCAGGACCTGGGGCATACTCAAGAGATGGTATGAACAGCAGCCTGACTTCTAGAAATACTTATGATGATAAGTATAGAACCCCAACTGTACATCAACCACCATGGAGTAATCCTGTCCACCGATATGATGGAAGGAACCGAGGGTATGACATTTAACTGATTTTCTGTTCAGCTCAAAGAAATTGTATTCACAGTATAGTAATTTTTTGTTGTTGTTAATCTTTCTACATTATGGTCTAAGAACTTTTGGGCAGTTGGCTTAACACTTTGACTGCTAATTTTTTCCTTGTCCCATCTCATATGCCATGGCATAAAGGGTGCCGCCATAGTGCAAATCATTTCCATCAACTGTAGTGAAACACGAACAAGCATTTGTGATCATTATTTTATGGTGACCACTGCCAGTGAGTTTATGTGCAATACAATAGTGGTATGTTGGCCAGGTGTGGACGTGATCTCACGTTCTTGGCACCCTGAGTAAACCCTGTTAGACGTGAACTCGCATTCTTGGCAGCAAGCCAGCGACATTCTAACAACTGGGTTTTTCTTACAGGCCAAGTCTTCCCAGAAAGAGAGTTTTCCCAGACCACAATGAAGAAGGACAGGTGAACAGAAAAAGAAGAAGGGAACCAGAAAATAGCAATGCTAGTACATCAAAGAAGTTAAAGAGTACCGGTGCACCAGCAACAAACAGTGAGGCATCCAGCAATTATACGCCTACCTCCTTAACAGATACTGATATGGTATGGCAGCTTCAAAATTATATTATAATCATTATCATCATGATAATTATCGTCTAACTCTCAATAATCATTTATACCGTTTCCAACAGATTCATAGCACTGAGTATCAAATAATAACAAAAATAACAAAATTGAATATGATTCTGGAAGCCATTATGATTTATGAATTTAAAAAAAGAACTTGAACAAAAGAAACTTAAAGTTATTGCATAAAGTAAAGCTTTTCCTAAAACTAAACATGGTTTGGCAGTTGACACAGAGGAACTTATCCGCCCTTTGTTCAGCTGTGGTTTTACTTGCTGCTAAGTGGCCATCGCACCAGATTAGTCACTGATGGCTTGACCAGATGCAGTTCAATGTCTTACCCAGGACTACTAAACTATAGCTTAAACTAACCTTAAACTAAAGTTGGAAAAAGGCAATTTAACACAGAATAGCATCATCGCTACACAGACGCCACCATCACCACCACTTCAACAAACTTAGAAGGCATACACTATTCATCCATTAACATTTGAATGTGTGAATGTTTAATGTCTGTTTGTTTACCAATTACTGTTTGTATTCTGTTTTTAATTTTAGCTTTCACAAGATATCTTGGAAAATTTCCTGAAGAAAAAGCAAACAAAAGCTGATCTAAGGAAGAAAGTAGCACTGAGAAATGAACTTGTTCAAGTTATCAAAAAACTTTATCCATGTAAGTTTTGGTTTAATAAATACATTATACACATTAATATGTTTATTATGAGTTACATTATATCAGAAATTGTGCTTATTTTTTTTTTTATAGATGGGGGTTTGTTTTTAGTTGGTTCGTCTATGAATGGATTTGGGAGTACAGATAGTGATGTGGACATGTGCTTAATAATCTCTGATAATTCGGTGAGTCATAAGCCCATCCCAACTAGATATTTGCCAAAGCAGTTGTAATTTCTGTGGATGGTAATAATACTTCCCCTGCTATATTAGGCATCATCACCAAAACTTCAGTTATTTTATATTCAGCTGAATTTCTATGGTGGTAAATGTTGGTTATTTAAACAATAAAATATGTGGTGGTGTTTCTTTTTTTCTCAGATTAGCCAGAGAATTCAAGCAAAGCAAATATTACATAGGCTACTGTCCGAACTTAGTAGACAATGTTACCGTAAGGCCAATATTTGTTGTTTATTGTTTAGCAAATTTTATTTTTAAGAATTTCTTCAGAGGAGAAAAGGCAAAAATGAACTATATTTTTCTCATTTAACAAAAGGTTCTGCCAAAATCATCCAGGTGGAGGAGAAAATAATAATGTAGTTTGATAAATAGAAACATGATGCCTTTTGAGATAAAAAGAGTAACTGAGGGCGCTATTATGCCTTCACTTATGGTCGTATTGCATGGTCGTATATGAAGAATGCTGGGCAAGCCAAGCTCTTCTAGTGCCATTGCTGACTGCTGGAGATATTAGCTTAAATGGGATATTTTGGAGGTAGATTTAGTTGCCCTGGGAATTAATATTATTTACTAAGCAAGTAAGACTAAAAATTAGTCAACATAATTTCTTTCAGTTACAGTCCATTTTGCAGAAGCAATTTATTATTTAACCCAACTGCCTTTTAAACTAAATCTTTGCAATTTTTGTTTATAGATTTCATGAGAAAAGCACTAGTGATTCCAGCCAAAGTTCCAATCTTAAAGTTTTTTGATGGCATAAGGTATGCAGAAATTGTGAATTTGAGTGCTTAAATAAGACTTTCAAGGCGGTTTTCCACTAGGTGAATTTATTCGCACGAATCGAAGGCGTCGGTTTGGTTCCTGAGCTCTGATTAGTTGTGCACATTTCTCGCTTCACAAAAAGTAGAAACAGTTCGAACTACCAATTTACAAAGTGTGAATGCGCATGCGCATGAACGACGCTTTCGAATTCGCGTGAATAAATTCGCCTAGTGGAAAACCAGCTTTATATACATTGTTTAGAGAACCACCGCCCACCAATAATGATGATTTTGAATAAAAATAAAATTTTGTTTTTGGCCAATTAGCGCACCAGCCGCTATGGAAAAATTGATATTTCAGAAAAAAATAAAAGTTTTTCTCTAAATTTGTTATGCCTGCCGATGCCTTGAAATCTCCGCAAATAAGATATGTATATTTCTTCCTAATTATAAAAATTACCTCCATCTGGATGTTTTTGACAAAATCATTTGCTACATAAGAAAACAAAATTTTATTTTAATTTTTTTCTGCCTTCCTCCGATGAAAAAAAGAGGTTCGTGAAACAAGGTGTAAAAAAGTTTCGCCTCGCTGCAGTTTAAATCCAATCCTCTTCAGTTATTTTTGTCTCCTCCATTTTCATTTTGTCCAAGCTTTGTCTCCTAAGATTATATGCTGGAAGCTGTTTGACAGATGTGAATCCTCCATATAGGAGCTGATTTTGTGTTCCATAGGCATTTACTCCAATGACTGGGGTAGTAAAATAAAGTTTAAAGAAGCCTTATGTAATCATAGATATTAATATTATTTTTATCACTATTGTGAATAATTATCTTGATAAATTGTGTTATACTATACTTTTCTATTTATTATGCTCAATATTTATACGTTGCAGTGCTATATATATTTATCTAGAATCATGTATGTATATGAACCTAACGACGAGATGATGGTTATTGAATTGAGTCCAACTGATGGTCGGAAGTTGGCGTTTGTTCTCTGCTACAATGGCCCCTGGGGAGTGATTGACGAGTTCACTAACACCCTTGATATAACCCTTAATAAAATTAGGAATATATACGATCAAATTTTTCTGCTGGGCGATTTTAACATTCCTGGTGCCAAAGGGTGTCTTGATCATAATATTAATCCATTCACTTCCGAGGGCAAATTCTGTAGCACAACTCTTGACCATTTTTTGACTCAAATGAATATGTTACCATCTCGTAAAAATTGTGACAACATTCTTGATTTAGTATTCACATCCGACACCACCAGAATGTATAATGTAATCGAAGCTGATCATTTTTATCATACTGACCATCGCCTCTTAAACTTTATAATTAAAACGAGGATAGTTAGACTAAATAGTCACAAACGTAAAGTGTTTAATTTTAAAACTGCCAAGTTTGATGTTATTTGTAAAATTTTTAATTCGGATAATTGTTTTACTATGGTATTCAAGGCCACTGACGTAAATACGGCTTGGAACAGTTTTGTTCAAATTATTTTTAAGACCCTTGATGACAACATCAAGAAAAATACTGTTAAAGATACAAATTCACCTTCTTGGATTGATGGCGAGGTCAGACATCATCAAAATAAAAAGAAGACTGCCTGGAAAAAAGCCAAGAAATTAGGCAAAATTTCGTAAACTACGTAACAGTCTTCAAACACTCATTAGGTCCAAATATAGTGATTACGTCAGTGGACTTGCATCTGCTATTTCTGACAACCCAAAAAGGTTTTTGGTCATTTATCAAAACTAAAACTAAGTCTAGATCTATACCTAAAACGATGTATTTTAACAATGAATCTGCTACTGAAGTCTCTGGGAGGGTACTTTATTTAATAGATATTTTTATTCTGTTTTCAGAAACCTAAGGCCCAACGGGTATCCTACTGTTCACATTAATAGTGAGGATCCTCCTGAATTGGGCGATACTGTTTTTAGTGAAATGGTTTATTGCTTATCTTTCAGATAGAAAACAACGAGTTGTTGTCGAAGGGGCACACTCCGACTGGTTACTTGTTACCTCGGGTGTACCGCAAGGATCAATACTCGGTCCTCTGCTCTTTCTTCTTTACATCAACGATATGCCCAGCACTGTCCAAAATTCAACATTGGCCTTATTTGCCAACGACTCCAAGGTCTTTAAACATATCAACGATGAGAGAGATTGCAGACTGCTTCAAAATGACATTGAGTCCTTGGTCAGATGGAGTCAAGTTTGGGACCTCTCCTTCAGTCCTGCCAAGTGTCTAATCATTACAATTAGTAGATCTGGGAAAGCAGTTAAGTTTTCTTACTGTATGAATGGCCTGACACTTGGCAAGGCTAGTGTAATTAGGGACCTTGGAGTCGACATCTCGGCAGATTTCAAATGGGACAACCATGTCAGCAGGGTGGTCAAGAAATGTAATCGAAAGCTCGGCCTAATTAAGCATGCGATTGGTTATAATGCACCAGTGTATGTCACTAAACCACTTTTCACATCTCTTTTCCGTAGTGACCTAGAATATGCAAGCTCCGTATAGAGCGGTTCAACAAAATCTAACCTCATGCTCATCGAAGGAGTGCAGCGCCGAGCTTCCGCTTACATTCTTAACTACCCTGCTTACAACTATAGAGAATGCCTTATTTATCTTAATTTACTTCCTCTTTCCTTTCGAAGGGACTTAATTGATATTTTGTTTTTTTAAAAATGTTTTTTGGCTATTATGACTTGGATTTTAAAAATTTTTTTGTTTTTAATGAATCTCTCGCCTCTTCACGTTTTCTTCGTCATTCTGACCATCTCAAACTCGTTGACAAACGTTGCAAAACCGAAACTTACAGAAGATTCTACTTCAATCGTATCGTTCCTATGTGGAACCAACTCCCTCACCCCATACGTTCAAACTCGACAATATCTGGTTTTAAGCGAGCCTTACGCATATTTTATGAGCTTCTGTTTGTCAACGAGTTTGACCCTGTCAGCACTTGCACTTGGGTTACTAAATGTTTTTGTCATTTATGTAGAACTGTGTAACTTTTTTCTTTTTTCTTTTCGACTTATATTTTTATGTATTTGCCGTTGGGTTTTGTGCATTTGGAGAGCGTGTCGTGTTAGAGGTGCTCGCACCTGTTGATATGCTCTCTCACTGGAATTTCTATTTATATATATATTTTTGTACTGTTGCCAGTGTAAAGCCGAATAAAAAAAAAAAATATGCTCTCTCACTGGAATTTCTATTTATATATATATTTTTGTACTGTTGCCAGTGTAAAGCCGAATAAAAAAAAAAAAAAAAACTATTATTAAAGTGTAGACACTATTAACAATTAATATTTTGATAAATATATTGAATAAATATATCTTCACTATAAATCACCAATCTATTATATTATTATTACAGTTTTTGTTGTTATTTCTTTTGTCTTATTCATATGAATGAGATTAATATATGTTACATTGCAAAACGATTATTTGGGTTTTTTTTTCTAGAAACCTTGAATGCGACTTAAACATCAACAATGCAACAGTAAGTTTTCTGAAAAAAAATCTGCGTGTTTAAACCTGTTAATGTGTACAAACTAGATTCAGTGTAATATATTAATGTGTATAATTAACTAATATCAAATCAAATCAAATCAGATTTTATTTGTTCCACTCATAAGATAGACAGAATTTTGATTTAAATAGTTTTAAAAAGTAAATATAAAAAGTTTTGCATATATTATTGTTATTTCTATTATTGTTGTTATTATTATGTTACCAGAACCTACCCTATGGGGAACTTAAACAATGGAGATATTAGAGAACAATTAAAAAAGCGACGTAAGGGGAAAGTAACACAAAAGATATTCCCCTTAAGTCTGAGTTAGTTAATATTATAATTATTATATGAATTATTGCTCTTAACTTTTTCAGACATCATAGGAATTTTCCCATTGTAATGATTATGAAATACTTACAGGGTGCATGCATGTTTAAATATTAATATTTACATATTATTTTTCCATTCACAGGGCATCAGAAATACTTATCTATTACAGCTTTATTCAAAGCGTAAGTTGATAATAGTCTCTTTATATATTTTTAATAATATATATTAGTTTAGTTAAATTGTCTAATTGTAGAGTATCAGCAATTCATTTAAGGGTCGTTAAACTGAAGTATTGTTTCCCACACTTTGTTTAAATGTCAGTGCATACAGTCATTTGAAATTTAAATCATTTAATATATATAGAAGGAGCATACCCTTTAGTAAAAAAAACAAAGAATGGAATAAGAATTAATTTTAATAATTTAATATAAATGATCATAAATGTTGTACCTTGGTAATATCCATTTACAATATTTCACCATTTGACATATATTGTTACCCTGGTGTACATACAAAATGAATTTGATTACACTGCTGTAAACGAGTTCTATAACTCTCAGATTATGAACATGGAACATTGGTAAGGCCATGGCCTATTAATTGAAGATCAGGGGTTCAAATCTGAGGATGATCGCTGTTTTTTTTCTTGCGCTCTGTAAGACTGAGAGGTAATTACTCAAATTCAACTTTATAGCAATCTATTAATACATGATTGGATAAAACAAATATGGTACGATATTACTCTTTGATATTATTCAGTGGATTGGCGAGTGGCTCCGCTTGTTTTGACCATTAAGCAGTGGGCCAGTGAAGTAGGAATTAACGATGCTAGTCAGGGCACCCTCTCAAGTTACTCCATTGTCCTCATGGTTTTATACTACCTTCAAGGTAAGCATCTCATCTTGCTCACCAACTAAACCTTTTCTTAAGCACCTGTATTTTACCTGATATCTCTCAATAATTGTACTGATTTGTTTACATCACAGCTTGTATTCTTTTTACAACTGCGCAACTCTAGCTCAAGTGATGCCTGTGTGCGCCCTCTATTACATTTTTACCTCACTCACTTGAATTGTATTATTTCGTCTATAAAATTTTATTTTTCCACTTACATGCTTTTGGCAGAATTTTGCTAAATGAGAAAGATCTTTTGAAAATAAATTTTGCTAAACATTGTATAAAGAAAGGCTCACCTTACTTTTCTGTACATATCTCTCTTGTTTATACTACTCTTTTCAACAATTAATTCAGTAAATAAAAGGAGGTGTTTTACTTTATCAACAGTTGGCCCAAAACCACCAGTTCTCATATCATTGCAGCATATATATCCAGTAAGTAGAATTGTTGTTTATTCCTTTAACTCTTTCACTACGTAATTTCCTATTCCATATTTCCCATATCTGGACGGAATAAAATGCAGGAAATTTGGGGAAAATAGGAGATATATAGAAAAAGAGTTATAAGTTTTTAATTGGCTTTCAAAAATATACAAAAGTATATATATTCTTTATCCTTGAGACCTTCTCTGTCTAATTATAAGAAAGTTGTCACTGTCACTGTCGTTGGTGCTAGTGTTATGCACACTTTCACTATCATTACTATTATGACTAGGCCTAGCTAGGCCTACACTATCATCATCGCTAATATCCATCATCTTGTGATTCAGTGGCAGTATTTGAACAATCACTATCACTCTGGGTATCATCATCATCATTGACATCCCACTGTGCAAGTCTGCGAAGCACTTCTTCTGCAGTTAAAACGTCTCCCAAGGGCAGCCATTGAAATGTTACTCAAAACAACAATGCCTGCTTGAAGCCTGTTTCAGCCTTTATTCAGACGGAGAGCTGCTCTCAACGGCTCAAAATAAGGTCAAAGGTCATGCAGATTGTTGTTCAATATAATATATGCAAACGTCATGGGGATATCCCCGAGATATCCTCCTTTGTTTACAGTGACGTCAACAAGCCGCTGTCAGCGGCTTTCCGCTCAAACTGCATATTTTATCTGCGCCGCTGTGAGCGGCTCGCCGTAGCGAAAGAGTTAATTATTATATATTTTATGCTACATATTTAAGTGTAATTTATTTGCTTTTAATAATTAAAAAAATCTGCTGAAACATACAATTTATTTCTGGCATACTGTATATTTTGGTTGCTCTTGCAACCTTCTCAATGTATGTAATTACCTTTCTCAACATACATAAATGTAGTTAAAATGTTGTTTTCATTGTTGGAGTTTGTATAGTATGCTGTATGCTTACTCTGCTGTACATGTAATCAACAAAAAGCACATTGCTTTTTCAGCTATGCTTGTGATCTAGAAACAACACAATATAACTAAAATCTCATCCATAATTTGAATAACAGAGACAGGCTACATAAATTAAAGATATTTGAAATTTGACTGCCGTAAATCAACAATTTTAATAGTCTTATCTTACTGGCAAGTTCAGTAAATGCCATTTTTGTAACGACCACACTACATGTGCATATTTTTGTGTACTGTACTGTTTTTTATACCTTGTTTAGTGAACCCACTGCTCGCCAATAAGGATGATTACTTTTGGCCAGTTGGCGAACCCACCGCCACAAAAAAAAAATGGAAATTTCAGAAAAAAATAAAATGTTTTCTTTATTTTTGGGTCCATCCCAGAGCCTCACTGCTGGTCTTGTTCTTGTTCTTGTTACCAAAACTGTAAAGGCGTCCAGCATTGCCAGTTTTGAATGGACGTGCAGGAAAATTTGTACACATAAACTACAGGTGTTCGCCCTTTTTTTAAGTTGGATTCCAGGGTTCCCCCTGCACCTGCAAAACAAAACAAGGATTGTATATTACTGCATTACCAATAATATGGCACATCGCATGGATGACGTGGTCAGTTAAGGATGTGTTGTAAAGAACTTAAGGTTATGAGTTCAAATCACATCTTAGTATTCCATTTTTTTTCCTAATAATAAAAAATATTTATTTTTTTCAATTTTAAGTTATTTTAATTTTGTATAAATAAACATTCTAAATAATTTTTTTTTATACAAATAAACATTCTAATTATATAAAAATTTCTATCTTATTAGCTCTTTAAAAGAACCTAATATAATAACTTGTGCCTGTACCGTATTAGCGGCAGTTTTACACAGCAGCTGAGGTTCAGGCTTTCAATCGTAAGGTCAGGGTTTCGAGTCTCCGCTGTGCAGATTCGCTTGTGTCCTTGGGCAAAGCACTTCAGCTACCCAGTTTTATCAATGGGCACCAGCAAACTGCTGGGGACTAACCTGCGATGGACTAGTGTCTCGTCCCGGGGAGTACAACTCCCATCCGCTTCACACTACAGAAACTGGGAATAAGCTCCAGCCCTATGAGCCCCTAGTGGCTCGGAAAGGATTTAGTTTTTAGTACCGTATTTAAGCATGGTATTAGCTCTTTCAAAAAACCCAATGTAATAACTTGCACCTGTACCGTATTTAAGTGTGGAGGAACGTGCGGACCAGTGAGTGGTCGCTCTTGTTATTATGCCCGCTGCTGCTTTAAAATCTCCAAAAAATAACCTATATATATTTTCTTCCTTATATAAATTTAAAGCAGTTAACTATCCCATTACTACACTGTTTATATTCTATAATACAATTTTATTTTTATTTTCTCCTCCGTCTGGATGTTTTCAGCAAATCCATTTGATAAATAAAGCCTTGTTCGCACTGGATTTAAAAAATGGTAAATTTAACCAGGGTAACTTTAACCAAAGTCATGGGTACGTTTCACCATTGTTCGCATTTGGATTATTCACGTGGTTAGTTTTACCATAGTTTTACCAAGATTTAACCTTGTGTATAAAAAATATTATTGAGGGCGCTAGTTTGTTAGTATTTTAACCGTGTTGCACGTTCGGATTGGACTTCTTGACCAGCGTGGTTAGTTTAACCGAGACCGTGGTAAGTTTTACTGGGCTGGCTGAGGTCGGTAAAATTAACCATTCGGCTTGGTTAATTTAACCCTGAGGGAATTGTAACCGACGTTCGGACTTGATTTTTTTAGGTCAATTTAGCCAGTGACTCAGTTGATTTGACCAAATTAAGTCCAGTGCGATAGGGGCTTTAGAAAATAAAATTTCAGTTTTGTTTTTTTTCCGCCCTACTCTGACAGTCTTTGAAAAAATAAGTTTGGGAAACAAGGTATAAAAAGTCTTGCCTTGCTAACATATATTTTACTCCTGTGCCATTCAGGGATAATGCTTCTGTGTAGATTATTAAAGGCAAAGTTGTAATTGGATTATTAAGGCTTGTACTGTTATGTGAATGAAATTTTCAAAAAAATATAAATTTTTATTTTCAGCAAAAATTTGTGAGCAATGCAAGCGTCTGGGATCTACAAAATTTGGCCCCCGAAGATGACCTACCATCCTGGATCTCCTTCAGGTCAACAAACAAGCAATCCTTCAGGGAACTGCTCGAAGGATTTATCCTGTTCTATACAAGTACCTTTCATTTCGATCGTGATGTAGTATCAGTCAGATTAGGGCGCCCTCTAGCACTCAACACTATTGAGCATATTGGTGATTGGAAAAAGAAATTCATTCATATTGAAGGTATCATATGTTTGGGTTTTTTGTTCCTCACAAAAGCAAATTGCTGGATTGAAATCTTTGTGAAATGTCATATGTTACTGTTGAGATAAATGTGTAAAGGTTTTGAAATAGAGAATGAAACTGGTGTCATTGCTGTGCCATTGGGCAAGGCACTTTATCCATTTTATCCATGTGACCCTTAACCCAGGACTATAAATAGTTGAATGGTAGGATGCAATTGATTTACCCGCACTTGTACACGCTGATAGCACTTATCAAATTATTCTTTTTTACAGAGCCATTTGACAAGACCAACACAGCTCGAGCTGTATACAGTGAACCCAATTTTAGGAAAATTATGACTGCTCTGAGACGGGCGTCAAATAAATTAAGCAAAAACAAAAATCTTAAGGTGCAAGACTTGTGTGTGCTGAGGTGACAAGGGCGCACTGAAAGCTATGGCGTTACAGAGAGTAGCTCACACTGAATTGTGTAAACTACTGATGATATCAAAGGCAGTGAGCTGCTTAGAGCGAAGTTAGGTAGGAGCTACCACCAGCAAACAACCCAAGGAGTTGCTACCAAAATAAAAACATGGAGGTGCCTACCTGGAGCCAAGTAAGCTACCAATGAAATACAAAGTTAAGTATGAAACAGTAAACAGACGACCAAATATGTTGCAGCTCCAAAGTGATACAAGTTACTAGTACGCACATACACAGACAAGTGTTGATAACACAGCCAATGTGCAAATACTGTAATGTGATATTAAAGACCTTATAAACACAAGATAGCATTCGCTACGATTTACGCCATTTGTCAGAAATGTAATCACTTTTGGGAGAGGTCGTCCTAGTCGTTGCCATGGAACTGAGATGGCTCTGTACACGTGGTTGATACCAAGTACGTCAATTGTTTCTTAAGAAAGGGGGCACATTGTAAATCAACGCTTTAAATATTTACGTGTAAAGGTAAAGTCGCTCAGTGTACACTATGGTCAAAACGGTCAAAGTTCAAAAATAGTCACTTTTGCAAGAGGGCGCTGTACACTGTTATTACAGCATTTGCACGTGGTAATCGCAGAGAACGCTATCTTGTGTTTATGAGGTCTTTGTGTAATATTTAGTAATTCAAGCCGAGAGCCAACTAATGGTGACATTCAGTGAGTTCAAAACCACCAGATCACAGTGAGGTTGCACCCAGAGCCAAGTGACCAGAATTGTACATTTTCAGGTCTCAATGAGTCTGTAGGCTCTCATTTGCAATACAGTATGTAAAAGAATATGTACATTTTTAGTTCCATGTGAGAAAATGTTGATTTTTGGAGGCTAGGGTTTTTGGCCTTGTTCGGTGGGATTCTACAACATTCTCTGCCATTCAGGTTAAAAAAATGTATATTTTTGGATCACTTAAAATATAAAATAACATGCGCATTGAAATCGTGAACGTTTTCAATGAGGAAAGTGAATGGATTTGTTTATTGATATTTTATCAAAATTATTCTATTTTATCTGTTACTTATCTGTACAGTAGTTATCAGATGATGTAAAATCCAAATAATATTACTGAATTCTGCTTTAGTCTGCTCCATTGGCAGCCTAGGTAAAGTTATCAGAGTTATGTATAAATGCAGTACTGTAGTGATAAACTTCTGATTGCAAGACATTCAATATGTAATTTACAGTTTATTGGAAAAGCTAAAATAAATCACATTTCAAGAACTATATTTGCTGCACTATTATCCATTGGATTTACATTTTTGCAATAGTTTTAATGGTGACTCCTTATGTTCTCCTATGAAATATGTTCTTGTAGGTTTTATAGTGTAATTGTCTCATTTATGTGATAGAATCAGTTAAATTTGAAAGTTTTGCTATGGTAGGTATGAAATTTACAATGCAACATGACAAGTAAACTAAAAAAATTTGCTCTGCTTGCTTTATTTGTGAACAAACTTGCCAAAGATGCCTTTTATAGCCCAACTGCTGCCGTAACATATTTTGAAAATTATTGATTTCGCGGATATTAAACATGTTTTAGTAATCGGTTAAATTAATATTAGTTTAATAAATATCTTACGTTTACAATAATACATAAATGTTAACACTTTATTTTTGTTGAAAACATATTAACATTATTACTAAAGTAGTAGAAATGTAATAATATAATAGTACATAAATATTATTTTCATATACAGGTCATATTAAAATAACTATCGAAGTTGAAATAATATTGAATCAAAGAAAATGTAATGTTAATTGTGGACTGTAAGAATGTACAATTTCTTTCTGAATTTCTTTTTTGAAATTTATTAATAAAATTCTGTCAGAAAAAGAAATGGCTTTTTTACATTTATGTGGGTTCCAGGCCCTAATTCTGGGTTATTCACTCTTTATTGCGCTCCGTACCTAATTTATTTGGCATCCCATACTCGGTTTCTTTTTTTTTTTTTCGGATTGTTGGTTGTGCTGTCCAGTATGAGTAAAAATAATAAAAATAAGGGACTTGTGGCAAGTACTGTTTTATGGCTTGTCCAAACTATCAATTTTTTTTTTTTTTGGCAAAAACAATTGACATACATAAATGTGGTCATGATGACATCACATCATAACCATATATAGGCACATCATGACAATGAGCATACAACTTGAATTTGATAGTCTGGACAGGGTTTTAGCACTTGACGACAAATTGTGCGCCTGGCTTCCATCTAGTCCTAATGATCTACTGCAGGGGTGGATGCCGGGTGAAGTGCCAACATTGCAATGACCACTGTACTGTAAAGATGGATTACAGGCTAAATTCAATAAGGCACAAGCTAGGAGTCAGATTATGAGAAAGAAAGTTCTGAGTTAAAGAGATGGTAAATAAAAAAACTTGCATAACCATCAAAATTCAATAAAATCATTTAACTGTTTAAATTTATCAACTTCCATCAAGACACAGTTTATTTTTCACATAAAAAATTGTGCCACTACTAGGAAAATTTTAGCATGTGTATAAATTCCACAGACCTTTAGCAAGGTTCCTATTTACCCTAGTTAGGAATATCTCTAGAGGTTTGTGTTTCTAGGAAAATTTTAGCATGTGTATAATAAATTGTACAGACCTTTAGCAAGGTTCCTATTCACCCTTGGGTTAAGGATATCTCCAGAGGTTTGTGTTTCTAGGAAAATTTTAGCATGTGTATAATAAATTGTACAGACCTTTAGCAAGGTTTCTATTTGCCCTCGGTAGGAATACTGTATCTTCAAAGGTTTGTGTAAAATTTATCATCTGTCTCATTTAATACTGAATTTAATTTTTTAAGTGAATCAGCAGAGTACTATCTATAAATGGTATGATGCTATAATAATGAAGATACTATTATGACTACTAATACTATAATGTATTAAAGCATATACATACATACATATACTTACATATGCTTACATATGTACATACACACAGGCTCCTCAGGAAAAATGGTATGCAGTAATAAAATTAAAGCAAGACTTGGGAGGAAAACAAATTGTTGATATGCTGTACAACTGATTTTTCTAAGACACAAAAAAGGGTGGTTATGTAAAAAATGGTGGTTACGCCCCTTTTCCCCTAGTTTTTTAAATATCAAAAATCTGTATCTCATTAACCGTTCCCAAGTTTTTTGTCAAATACCCTTTTTGTGTCTTTTTTTTCCCTCCGGAGCCTAGATTTAATTTTATTAATACCTTAAATATAACATTTTATTGCTAGATGCTGTGATATGTACTGTACTATTAAACTGGGCTTTACGGAACATTAACGATTATCACCAAAATAAACCACATTTATCACCATTATCATTTAATAATTTAATATAAATACTGTAGTACGTAATTGACAATAATGCTACCAGGATCCAAACAACTTTTTAAATATGGACTCCTTGTGGTTGTCTTTCAGTGGCGTTATTTCTTTATTCTTGTCTTCTCTACGAATAAATGGTCGAATATCCTCATCATTTTTTGTGATGATTGCTGGTTGTCCGTCTTGGTCGGTCTTTGTAATGGTGGTTTTCACATTACCATCCGAGTCTTTCTCTGTGCGCTGTGTTTCAACAGTCTGAAAAGGAAATAGCTGGGTTTAAAAGAAAACTTTTAAATAGAGTTGAACCATGCCCAAGGATTATAGGGTTAATCACACAAAACAACTAAACTAAAGTCCTGTGTTAAGATTCAGGTTATTCAAGATATTATCAACAACAATAACTCTATGTATAATGTACTTCTTATGTTTGTTTAACCTATTTTCTTATTTCTGCTGCAAATAAAGCAAATTAAATCATATAATTTCCATGTTAATAACATCACTTTATGCTGGATAAATCATTCTCTTTATGATGGCGCAAAGTAACAATGATAAATGTCATTTAACCGTTACCAACTTTTTTGTCAAACACCTTTTTTGTGTCTTAGAAAAATCAGTTGTAAACCATATATCAAATTTTTCCCCCTCCGAAGCCCGGTTTCTAATTGCTGACAACATTTGTGACCCAAGCTCACAAAAGGGCTGTAAACTCGCACTGCACTGTATTGAGAAACAAGCCTTCATAACCAGAATAGGTCGTAGAACGTGAATTTCTCTTTATGATGGCGCAAAGTAACAATAATAAATGCTTGCCATATACAAAAGGGTGTTTAAATATTTAAAAATTTCTCATCTCATTTAACGGTTGCCAACCACCTTTTTTGTGTCTTAGAAAAATCAGTTGTAAACCATATATCAAATTTTTCCCCCTCCGGAGACCGGTTTCTAATTGATGACAACATTTGTGACCCAAGCTCACAAAAGGGCTGTAAACTCGCACTGCACTGTATTGAGAAACAAGACTTCATAACCAGAATAGTTGAATTTTGTGTGAATTGAGTTTTTGTGTAATAACATTTAATCTTACTATTCCTGAAGTTTGAGTTTAAAAATCCAACTGTTAGAGGTAAAATTTAGTCATTTTCGGATGGGAGCTAGTGAAAAATGAATAGGAAACCTGCTGAAAATAAAAGCATTTTTCCCAAAACTTGATTTAATAAAGTTAATAAGATGACAATTATTCAAACGGTCATAACTTTGCTTCCAGACACCTGATTGAGTTCATTTAACTGTCATTTTAAAGTAAATGATATGTTCTATGCCATTTTGGCCTGAGGATGAGTTTACAGCCCTTTTGTGAACTTGGGTCACATTTATTTGTCAACAAGGTTGACATAAACTTACCCCATCTGGGAGTCTGATTGTTCTGATTGATACACTACGGAACACTGATTTTCTACTGGGACTACTTCTAATCTCATCACGTTCTTTTGGGAGAATGAGATCTATATTTGATGAATCTATGTGACTGTCCAGATCTGAAATCAACAAAAAGAGAAGTTGCTTACACGTCAGTTTTCGGAAAATTTCACGTTTGAAAATCCATCTTAATAAAATTGTGAGAAAAACTTAAGAGCAATCTAAGAATGGGATGCTTTAACACATTAAATTTGGGAGTGTTCATGACAATAGTCAGTTTATCTGGTTAAATAGTTATGACTGAATTTGATAAAATATGAATATAAATTAACCTTACCGGAATCTTCTCTTTTTGTTTGATTCGAGTGTGGATTAAAATCAAACTCCGGAATCTTGAAAATATCACCTAACTGATAGAAATATAAATAATTAGTAATTTGCCTCCAGTACATGCAACATACTACGGTAAATTGATTTTATGAAATATTGCACTTGGAAAAGTATTATATCAGCACACATTTCACTTGGGTACACATTCTTTGGATGAAATGTCGAGCTGGATTTTTTTTATTTGTGATTGTTGGCATGCATGTCTAAGAAAAGATGAAAATCATAAATATACTCATTTTGTACTTGTTAACAATACTAAAGTGGAAAGTACTGACTTCTTGCTGTTAAAAGTTATAATGGATTACATCATAAACTAAATATAATGTACAGAAATTTACTCACAAAGGGTCTGTGATTAGGAGCCGAGAACCAGTCTAATTTCTTTTCATTCTCACTTGATCTGGCATTCTCTTTTTGTCTTCTGATGCTTTGTGAGTCTCCATCTGACTTCAGCATATCTTCTCTTGGTGATTTTGCCTTTTGAAATGACCGATCATTTTCTACTTCAGGAAAACCTGGCAAAATATAACAACTCTGCTCATATTGGTAATGTCTAAAAAACTTATGTTGAAATATTGTATCAACATAGGATTACATGCTTTTTTGTTTAAACCCTGTCTAAGTGGAAAGGTGTACCGGTTTCTGAATGATGAATTTTGACTAAGTTTCTACAATTAGGGTCCCTGATAAACTTATTGACAATATAAATTTCTGTTATTATTATTATTATTATATTACCAATATATTTTACCAGTGAAAACATTTAGTTCAGTGAAATTATAATTAAAAGTTTTAAATTACCAAATTCAGTATTCTTACCTATTTGTGGGAACTCTGCGATACCAAAATTACTAAACATCTCTTGAAAGTGACTAAACATTTCCTGGGTTTCCCTGAAGAACTGATCATGAATGTCCCCAAACTGTCCATCTTCATCATCCCAACATCTATTTGTGATGTTGCCATCATCTCTAAATATTAAAATAATCTACAGTGTTAATTAATAGCAAAGTTAAATCCAGGCGCTCCGGAAGAAAATTATTTTTTGATATGTTGTAGAACTGATTTTATATTAAAAGCATATTTGACGAAAAACTTGGAAGTGGTTAATGAGATACAGATTTTTGAATATTTCAAAACGGGGGAAAAGGGGTGTAACCACGCTTTTTTGAACCTCCCCCCCCCCCAGGTTTTTAATATTCAAAAATCTGTATCTCATTAACCACTTCTGAGTTTCATCAAATATGCTTTTCATGTCTTAAAAAAAGCAGTTCTACAACATATCAAAACAAATTTTTCCTCCAGAGCCTGGCTTTAAAAACAACATTGGACAACAGGGCGGATCCAGAGATGCCCAAAAGTGGGGGGGGGGAGGGGCAGAAAGTGGGAGCCGATCGAGACGATAGTACCTTAGGTGGTCCAAGGGCATGCCCCTGCAAACATTTTGTATTGTAGACATCCGAAAATAACCTCTGAGGTATTTTGGGTGATAAATTATTTCTTTTTCTTTCTTTCTTTTTTTTACTCTCCAAAAAGGGGGACTGCAGCTGCGGTGTAGAGTCGTTTCGGCCCTGAGTCGATTCGGCCCCGAGTCGTTTCGGCCCTGAGTTGGTATTTTTGTCATGCATTTCGGCCACGGTGTATGGAGCGCCGAAGGTGTGGCCGCGCAATAATAATTTAATAGAACAAGATGGCTATAAGCAGTATACTGTTTATTAAACATGAAACTTAGGCTATTACTGCAACATTATCAGATATTAACAATTCTTATTAGTATTATCTTATTATTATTATTATTATTATTATTAAGTTTATTGTAGTATCACATGGTGTTATCTTTCTTTTTACAGAAACAACGCAAATGTTACAAGTCGATTGGTTTGGAGACTCGTTTCTTTTTATCATTTCCATACTATATATATTTGGATCATGTTTATAAATGCTTCAATAAAATTTAGATTTATAAAATAAGTAGGCTTATAGTTAATTTAGCGGATTAGTTTGTCATAAGTTTTGTTTTTTTGTCTGTTGCGTCTCCATTTACATTACCAAATGTTCTATTTATAGCAATACATCATAGGCCTATATAAAATAAATTGAAATATACTGAATGATGTGATAATGAAAATAAAGCAAATATATTATTGTATTCATAAGGCCGACAAAATAACTCATTGCATAGAAATTTTTTTCTTTTCTTCCACTTTATTCAAATACATAAACAGTAAAAAAAGGAAAGTATACAAAGCACATAAAGCAAATTAAACAAATAAATTCAAAAGAATTTAATCTATTGCATAGAAATTAACTAAAGAAATTATTAACTACAGTATAATTTGAGGAAAGAAATGTTTTCAACAATTATGTTGAGGTGAAGCAGACACATGGTTTGTATCTTCTTGTTTGTTTTATTTCCATTGTCGATACATATTTTGATTAGGCATGTTTATAAAATACTCAAATAAATGGAAATAGTAAACTACAGTTTAAATAAGATTTATGGGCCTACAAATGTTAATGGCTGATTCTAGGCTTCTTTTGATATTAAGTAAGCCTGAAATATCACTCACATGGCCTATTGTTACATGGAAACTAACTATAAAAATCAGAAAGAAACGCCCACAAACAGGTTCCCACGGTACTCTTTAGGGTGAAGCAGACATTCCTTGTACGCCGCATTCAGGAATGTGTGGGCGCACTACTGCAAAGAGTGAAGTAGGTCAGATGCTAAAATTAGATTGGCTATTTTTAGGTGCAAACACATGCCATGGCCGTGAATGTGTACGCGTGTTCACTTCTTGTCTATGGTTCCGATTTTAAAAAAAAATTTTCAACTTTGTTTAAGATTTAATATTTCATTTACCGTATATGGACAGGGCCCCTGTGGCAGGAGCAGATCCATAGATGTCCGACAGGACAAGGGAACCAAAAATGGGGCCGATCGAAATAACACCGCCCTGAGGGGAGGTCCGCGAAATATTTGTTTTCTAATATATATGTAACCTCTGAGGTGTTTTAAGCGATCAATTTCTCCCCTTTTTTAACTTCCTAAAAGGGTGACAGGGCTGAGGACGCCCCCGACGCTGTGTAGGCTCGATCTCCCAAAATAATGATGATACTGAAAAATACAATTTACAAAAAAGAAAAAGTATTATGTATAGTCAAGGATCGTAAAGACAAAATAAATCATACCACCATGGACCTATTTAATAGGTCCATGATCATACTAAAACACAAAAACAAAAGCTCTTTAAAAGTACAGAACTCAAATAAACCACACAGTGCGTACTTGGTGATCCATACTGCGGCTGTTAAATGCAATCGAAATGCTTACAAACAATAGGGCGACCACTTCTGACCCGTTTCGAATCGACCCAGGCCGAATCGAATAGCTAGGCCTAGGCCTAGCCTAGGTCCTTACCAACCAACCAAGCTCTCTAAAATAAACGCTAGGCTAAGCCTAACTTAATATTACAACTTCATCTTTATTACCTTGTATCATAATAATGGGATCTACTTGGAAACCCAAATATTGACCGAAACAAGTCGTTAAAATTCATTTTTTGAACCAACCAACCGATCCTAACTTATGGTAAACATTGCATCATTCGTTCATTTGATTTGCGCCCTCTTGTGGCATAATACTATTAGCAAATAATCTGCAGCAGTTCCTTCCAGTGATTTGTGTTTACAGTATTTTGGTTATTGCTAATATTTCGATTCAGAAGAAAACGTATCTGTAATGTCATTAGTTAATTATGGAAGCAGTGATGAATCAAGTGGTAATGAGGAAGATAGTTCACACGTTGAAAATGTGTCTAGGAGGTCTAGGCCTAGGCCCATACCCGCACGGGATAGTGAGGTTCATGTGGAACACGGCACATCTCCTCCGACTGCGAATCCATGGTCCATACTCATTGACACTTCATCAGGCCTAGGCCTAGATATGGTAGTAGGGCCTGTGGCTAGAAATGAAACAAGAACCGTTGTGGGAGGTGATCCGACACGAAAACGGTCTTTGTTGTCGGGTTTACCTCCACCTAAATCATCAAAACCAAGAAAAGGTAAAACTAACTAACCAACACATACACAGACTGACTCACTCAGTCACACACAAGTGACAATTATTATTTAATTATTTATTCAAATTATATGTTAAATGTAATATGTATCAATCGCAGATTCCAGTCATCTCTCCTCAGAATTCCCCGTACAAAGTTTCCCCAGACAAACTATCCCCCGACCAACTCCCCCTCAGACAAACTCTCCCCTTACTTACTAGCTACAATGCAAAGTTTCTCCATAGCAAAGTTGCACCTACAAACTCGCCCAACTCTCCCACTAATAAACTCACCCACTGCTATAAACAGCCTCCCTCCATCTATAAACTTGGCCCTATGTATTATCAAACTTTCCCCCTAATTTAATAATATTCTTGTTTGACTTAGGTCTAGAATTATCAGAAAATAAGAATGATCCAGGAACTAAGAATGTGACAGAGGTAGATTCATCAACAAACATAAAAAGATCGTTTCTGAATCTACCCCCACCAAAAAAGAAAAGCCAAACAGTGAAGATCACTCTTCCAACTTTACCTGATGTAGGTATTATTTTATACAATGAGTCAATCTTTATGACTTTTAAAATTGTTCTTAATCTTTTAATTAAATGTTCATGTATTATTGTTTGTAAATATAGTAAATGCGTTATTCACCATTGCATGTAAGTGCAAATTATTTTTATGTGTAAATAACGAGTTACACAATGGAGAGACAGAAAATGAAAGTATGCATTGACCGTACGTCTTCGTTTGGATCCCTTGAACGAATGGAAATCATACATTTTGCTTCTAATGTATTGTAATACACTACTTTCAATGACAATTGTGATGACATTCTGATGTTGGTACACAGGGAATGTGGTTAAGGAAGGATATGCGGTGATGATTTGTAATCATTTTATTATGAGTCTCTTCTTTTTTTTCCCAGTTTTTTATCATCTCCTGCATCTTTTTTCTGCTTTGTCTTTACGTTCACCTTACCTTTTCTTTACTTGGACATGGCACTTATAGACCTTGTTTATTGCGCCTTATAAATCGACCTATTAAAATTATTATTATTATTATTATTATTATTGTTATTATTATTATTATTAATTATTAATTCATGTTCATTTCAGCCTGGGTCTGATGAAGATGATGAACCAGTTGCAAAGAAACCAGCTCCAAGTAAGGTAAGCATTAACAACAATCAATCACAGTGACAATCAATCAATCAACTCATTAATTAATCAGTATATCAATTAATCAAGATGCTGTTTATCACACTTACCATTACTGAATTTATAGAATTCATTCCATCCTTGCATATGATGCCCTTGCAGGCTTTATGAGCTGACGTTATTCTATGCAGTTATACAATAACGATTAATAATACCTATTATTTAATGTACAGATGGGCAAAGTGTGGCCCGATGGCAATTATTTTGCAGCCTGTGAAAATATGTTAAAAACCATATACATGCGGCTTGTCTACAGCCTTTGGCTAGGAAACGTTTTGACAGCCCGGTATCAAAACAGAGGAAAAATAATTGGAATGGAGTGTATTGAATGTTTTTTGCAAGCACATTGAAACCGTTAAGTTTGCTTGGGACCCTCAGTGTTAGATGAAAACTTCAGGCACTCAGACCCATTATTATGCCCACTTCTGATCTATTAAATGCCTCCTCAAGTGTTTGACTATATTTTTTGCTGTTATTTTCAGGGAGTTTCAGGACTTCTCTCCATGTTGCCTAAACCCAAGAGTGCGATGAGCAGTAGGATTCTTGTGCCACACACAGTGTCAAGGAAACCGCCACCACAGAAACTTAAACCACAAATAAAACCTTCACCGAAAACAAACAGCACCTCAGTTGCTAGTGCCATTAGTGTTGATTATGGCAGTGATGATAATGACGACGATGAAGGCAGTAGTTTCTTTTCGCTCGGAGCATCAAGTTTGCTGCCAGAGGTATCATCCAGTAATAAGTGTAATGAAAAGCTTGGCAGCAAGACATCACTGCCATCACTTCCCCCTACAACTTCAAATAAAAACTATCTTAGCGCTGACTCTAGCAACGTTAAAAAATTACCTAAACCAACTGTAAATGTTAGCAATAATGTCAACATTCTACCACAATCATCAACCAGTTCATCAAGCTCGTCTTTTGTTTGTTCAAAAGAACCCCCCACTAATATTATTTCATCCTCGATATCAACACGGACTTACGATGCTTCAACAGCTCGAACATCAGGTACGGATGAAAACTCTTACAATGCTTTATCGCCAATGGCCAATGTTGAACCAGATAGTAATTCATCTAGTATTACAAACATTGCTGATGCTCCACTCAGTTTCAACAAATCACATTCCAGTACAAATTCTGGATATGGTCATGTGACTTCAAGTTACTATACTAATTATGATTACAGTGGCAATTATTACCAGGCAGGTCAAAGTGCATATGAATACAACCAACCATTTCAGGTAATCTTACATATTTTTCAAAAGAGGTGATAAACATGGATAGACATACATTAGAAATATATGTTGTTTAACTATATGACTCAGTTACAACCTACAGTATTTTTGTACTTATTCTCTGATAAGATAGTATAATACATATTCCAAGTATCGAAATGCACGCCATCGTGTCGGGATTTAATATTGCGACATTAATTAATATGTCATCATCAGAAATTAATGTTGAGATATTGAATCCCGACACGATGGCATGCATTTTGATACTTTATATACATTATACTATCTTATCTAAGATTAATCAGTGGACCTTTCATGATTATTCTCTTTTTACACTTGTTCTTGACTACTACTGTACAAGATGTATTCACAACATAATATAATATAATACAATATAATTTAATATAATATAATATAAGAATGTCATGAGATGTAAGATGCCAACTACATTTGCTAGTCAATGGCTGCCAATAACTGATATATTTTCAGTGGCTAAATTTATTGTTACAGTATTATTATTACAAGTGACATGACCGAAAAATCAGAGCTTGCAAACAATTGGTACTTTCTTACACTAAACTTCTAATAAATAAATAAACTACAATTATATACACCACTAACAAATTAATCATTTTTATTTTCTTATTAAAATGCAATGTAATTATTATGATAAATTATCTGCTTTAGGATACCAGAGGGTATCAGGAGTATGCTGATAGTACAGAAGTAGGGGGCATGCAGCAAGAAGTTTTAGAAGATGTTAATGATGATGATGAACAGGTAGACCTTTCTAATTACATTTTACATATCACTGAGTTGCTATTCGAATGGCTAACATACAATTTTGCTGAGGTAACTTCATGAGCATTCTTCCACATCATTGCTATGTAAAACCCTGTAACTCTTAACATTTTCTTTGACACAAAACTGTTGTATGCCCATATATAGTCATGTTGTGCCTATATATGGTCATGATGTGATGTCAAAATTTGATAGTCGGGATAGGGCTTTAGTTTAATGTAATGAATCTATCAAAAAGGTTTTGACATCTAAATCATTATACATTGTATTTATTGCGAAATGTACTTTTCTTAAAAAAAAAATACCTACAGCTTCGAAGATTCCTAGGCAAGAATCGGAATAAAGATGATATAAACATGATCAGTATCAATGCAGATGATCAAACTGCAGGAAGCAATTCAAGAGAAGCCCTCTTAAAAAGCATCTCAGAAGAGAAACAGCCAATGACATATTCAGTGAGTTTTTATTGTAGGGAAAATAGTATTTACTTGAGACTATTATTATCATTATTATTATTTTTAATTATTATTATTATTATTATTATTATTATTATTATTTTTTTTTTTTTTTTTTCCTCCGCCAACGAAGTTGCCAGGAGGTTATGATTTGACCTGAGTTTTTATTTAGTTATTTATATGTCTGTCACAATCAACAAAAAACTATTTTTTTATTTACTTGTCTACAGCCAATAGTGTTAATCACAAACTTGTCAAACTTGGTCACAATGTTCCATGACCAAAGATCTTACTACCTCCACCAATAAAGTTGGCAGGAGATTATGTTTTTTTGTTTTTTTATGTTTACTTATTTACAGTATTTATTTATTTGTCTGTTGACGTATATGTTGTGAACAGCCTACAGCCCATAGTTTTTATCAGAAATTCGTCAAACTTTGCCACAATGTTCCTTTACTTAGGATCTAGAGCTGATTAAATTTTTAAGGGTCAGGTCAAAGGTCAAGGTCACAATCAACGAAAACTTTTGTTCCATGACCAAAGATCTCAAAGTATTTGAATGTTGAAGGGTAAGGGTTAAAGGTCAAGGTCACAATCAACAAAAAAAACCGATTTTTTGAAACAGTTTTTTTCAGAAATTTGTCAAACTTGGCCACAATTTTCCTTTACTTGCCATCTTGAACTTAGAGTTTACAATTTTAAATTTTCAGGCCTGGCTTCTTTATCTTTGTGTCTTTTTTCCTGATACAATTATTATTATCATTACAATAATATTAATATCATTTTTATTATTATTATTATTATTATTATTAATATTATTAAATTACTATTTTTATTATAACTACTATTATCATTATTTTATTTTTGCTATATATTTTTATTGCTTCTGTATTAATGTGATTTTTCTGTGATGTCCTGTCTTTTATTAATATTTAACAACTCAGTTTTGTAATTCAGATTTATTTCTGCAGTATGCTGTTTTATGTATAAATTGTTTGAATAAAAAGAACTGAGATATATTACAATAATGATAATAGTTTACACTACAGTTTTTTTTAAACTACCATAAATAACTTTTTACACTGTAGAACAGTAATAAATAGGAGGTAAGTAGTAAGAAAAGTGACTTTCTTTTCTGTTGGTCTTCAATCCATTTACAAGTTCTAATAGATCTTTCTGCTCAGTCCCACCCTTTGGATAGTGTTACTAAGTAACCTACGTACAAAACAATGTGTAAAGGTGGGGGGGGGCAAAAGTGGGGGCTGATCAAGATAATACTACCCTACGGGGTCCGGGAGCATGCCCCCGTGAAATTTTTGTGGGACAACCTTGTATTCCTGGCCATGCTGTGATTTTCCTGTTAAGTATGATTGGCACCTTAGAGAGGTCAATACATAAACAATTTTGAAATGGCTATTTTAATAATATCCCAATAATAATAATAATAAATAATAATAATAACAAATATTTATAATGCACCAATTCAAAGATTTGTTAAAGGCGCAGTGGACTAGATGTTGCACTTTCGATAACTTTTTCCTCCCCTGAGGGTCACTTCATGTCCTCTGCAGCCAGCAAACCGGCGTACTTTCATCTGTCCACGACGGGCCGAGTGAACAGTACACCGGGGTAACCCCCTACTCATCTCGAAAGATATACTGGATTCTTTAAAAGTGCACATGAGCATTTGTGTACACTGGGCCTACAGCTTATAGTCCTTATCTGAGAAGACTTGTTCCACCACCAGGACTATAGGAGCGAGCCAGCCGCGAACCCATGCCGATATTGTTGGCTATGATTACGGTGCCCCCGCCTTAACTGCTCAGCCATTTGACTCGCTCAATTAAATGAATATAGTTGAGATTACTGAGGAAGCTTATTATTATATTAATAATTTTAATGTCTATTCTTTGTAATCCAGACCCTTTATTTTGAATTGGCCAGTGTGAGATGAATGGAGATGTATTATTTTTTATTGTTTGGTGAGGAGTTTATTTGTGTTAGTTTGAACTCCAGGACCTGGAAGCTATTCTGTGTATTATTATATCCATATTTTTCATTTGTTTCATACAGAAAAAGAAAAATTCTGATTTGCCTTCCTCACAACAACGTAGGAAACACCAGATTACCTATCTTGCTTTTCAGGTGAGTACAAAAGATTGTCTTTTTTAAATTGTCTGTATATCATGCGCAATTTGGATGTGTGCTATTAATACAAAATAAACATTAATTGGTGTTTCTTTATGTGTAAATGAAGAATGAAATATTAATTTTTTTTCAAGTTTAATTGCAGATTTTAAAAATACAACCCCTGGTATATTTGTAAAATAAAATAATGTATGCACAGGCCCAAAGATCATGATCAACATTTAATTCATGTTGTTTGTTAGGCCCCATTTTTTGCATGATTGTTAAAATGCAAGTAGCTTATCTTATATATTTACAATAACTTTTTTTAAGGCAAAAGAGAGGGAGTTGGCACTGAAGAATCAATGGTCACAAAACAGAATGACTCGCAAACAAACTCAAGCAAAGTACGGCTTTTGAGTGAAAATATTGAGGGAACCATCTCTCTGAGAAAGCAGTGTTTAAAAATCGACTCTAGAAGATGCTGTTCATTTGCTAGTGTCAGCCTCTATGGAGAAAGTCTGAACTGGATATTCACTTATTTGTAGGATTATCTTGCTGAAGACAGTCTGTAGTTGGAGACCTAAATATAGGACAGTATTTTTACATTTTGTTGTTACAGAACTTTGATGGCTATCGTACTTCCCTCTCGGCGGCTGGACCGCCGATGAAATTGATCTTGTTGAATTAATTGCATGGATATGTAAGGTCAGAAAAGAGAGGAGGTTTTACGTAGTTTGTGAAAATATACAGTAAATTCTGTATTGGATGACATGGGGAAAACTCATGTTGACCATTTCTGGAATTTGTATGTATGCCATATAAATTGTATATTAAAAATCAAGATGGAAGGTGGTTTCTGCCTTCTGTGATCATCTAAGTTCACAATGGTAAGTGAGCAAGGCGGAAGGTGGTGTCTGCCTTGTGTGTTCATCTAGATTCACAATGGTAAGCGAGAAGGCTTTAGTTAAGTCCTCAGGTGCTTCTCAAAAACCTTGCTTCTCTGGAAAATATTTGTTAGTAAATATGATTATTCATGTTTTTTGCAGAGTTGTCTTTTTTGTTTAATTAGAAATGTGAATGATCATCTTGTGATTATCATGAAAACAAATTCAAATCTTAATGATACAGTAATTCGAATACCGTATTTATTTGAATAAATGCCTGGGCATTATTGTTGAAAATGGGGTTCTGAGGGGTGTTTATTCGAGGGAGGTTTTTATTAGAGAAAGGTGTTTATTTTTTTGTTTGTGTAAAATGGATATGTATTACTCAATTACCCTTTTAAATGCTCTGTAAATATGAACTACAACAAATTTACCTTCAAAATATGTTATTGCATGATTCAAAAGACTTTGACAATTTCAAACAAGGTTAGAGAAGAAGTAATTTGTATTTGAGTAGAATGTTAATAGAATTTGTTGAGAATAACGTTGCTTCCATTAGTTTGTTTACAGTTATTTAAAGAGGCCTTTATTTGAGGGGAAAAATACGCACCCTGGGTTGTTATTCAAGGAAGGCGTTTATTCTAAATGAGGCTCTTGAGAGGGTGTTTTTATTTGAATAAATACGGTATTCTAATTGTCATGATCATAATGATACTACTGTATAATATAAAATTAACGCCAATGAAAAAATTGATGTCTCCCAAGTACATTATTATTATTTATGCTTTAGTTTATAAACTATTATTATTTTAGTGGTTATTCTTAATAATGTACTATTAAAATAATAAGTACTGTACAGTACAGTATTTATTTGCAGAGAATTTTAGATATTGAATACTGTAGCACATTTTTACATCAAAGGTTCATTAAATAAAACAAAAGATTGTCATTGTCAAAGTTGTGATGTTTGTGGTATCATGAATAAAACTAATAAGAAACTTGTTGTTATTAATATACAGTATTATGTTATTTATTCGAATAAATGCACTATCCAGAGCCAGCCTCATATGAAATATGTTTTTCCCTCGAATAAATGCCCAAGAAGTTTAGTTTTTCCTCAAATAAATTCTCCCTCCCTAAATGACACATAAATGACACGCCTATTAATGTTCTACTCCAGCAGTATTACATTTTTAGCCTGGTTGGGTTCAATCACGCAATGACACATTTTGACGTTAATTATGTGTTGTATTTCACATTTAAAGTGGAATTATTTGAGTATATATGTATCCATTTTACACACACATACAAATAAAGGTCTTCAAATAAATGACCCATCAAAAACCCTTCCAAACAATAAATGATGATTAAAAGGCATTTTTTGATGCAATTTTCCATTTTGTTAGTCCAATTTAAAATTAAATTTGGCCAATTTTTTACAATTGAATTATTGAAATATTTAATTGTGAAATCTTTTTTTAATTTTTCTAAAGATATGTGCAATTTTATAATAATTCTGAATTTAGTGTCTCATATTGTTCTGTTCTGCTTTTCTACAATCACTATTTTAATTGTGTAATTTTTTTTTATGTTTGTCCTTTTGATTATTATCCGAATATTAATTGAAAACGCCTTGTGCGTTTATTCGAACAAATACAGTATTTGCTCGTGCAGTCAATCCAGGAACAGTACGTGTAGTATTTCTATGATAGGATCTGTGGCAAAATTAATGTAAGAAAAAAATAATCGGTCTGCCGCCCTCAATCGGCAAGCGTGGGAATTCTCAAGATTCTGCGGGTTTGTTATTTGTAATGTATGTTTAGAATTGTTTTAATTTCTGTTCATGAATAGATTATTAACAGAGAGTATGCATAATAATGCAGGCTAACGTTAAACTTGCTTTTTGTAAATCATTGAATCTAGTACTACTAGGCCTAGTAGATGGTAGCTAGAAAATAGAAAAGCAGACTAGGCCTAGCCTAATTGCAACTGGGCAGGTCTTTGATTTGAGGAGAGTACCGTAGACACCTAGGCTAACTGCCCCACATTCCTATTTGTAAGTTAGGCCTAGGCCCTAACAACTCCCTGGCCCTAGTTAGATCCCACCTATCAAGCAAGCCTACTAATTCGAAGAGTGATACGGGTCTAGGCCTACAGTACTAGTCCATATTTTGAAGTATGTTATTTCCACTGCGGATACATAACAGTCTAGCTTATTAAATTTGCACTGAAATAATTATGTGCAAATATCTGTACATTTTGTTTGTTGTCACGTTTGTTTTTGGTTATATATTGAGCGGTAAAATAGTAACGGCAATAAGTCAAAACGGCAAAAAACCAAAACATCAACACTTTTTTAGACCAGAACAGCAGTGGACCAAAACGGCAATAAGTCAAAACGGCAATAAACCAAAACGCGAAAGAAGAAACATTAATAATAATAATAATAATAATAATAATAATAATAATAACATGCAAATTCAATAGTAAAAAGATTGGGGGAATAAACTGCTGTCCGCGCCCGGTGGCATTGATTTTTGCTCCTTTTTTTGGTCTATGCCCATTTTGGTACTTATCATTGCCGTTTTGGTCATTGCCGTTTTGTCCAGAAACTGGTAAAATCTTTATTCGAAATGCGTGGGTGGATTTCTAGGCCTCATCTTTCCTGGAGGATATTCCCTCCATGCAGGCCAGCCTGGCCTAGTGCTGGTGGTGTATCTGTATACGTTACATTCTCAAAAACCTGGTCCCCACCCAACAGAAATTTTTCCGAGCAAAAAACTAGGTGGACTAGCCAGCTTAATCAGGTGTGCATCACTACAAGTTTGTCTCAGACTCTCAATCAAGTGCTACTGTTTCTTCTCTTTTTCTGTGACACTTTGTTAAACTAACATGATTGATAGGTAACCCTTTATCAGTTACACAGTTCTGAACTGAAGATGTTCACTTAAACATGCAGTTTATGGTTAATTTTGAAGTTAATGCAGTATGAAGTGTTGTCTTCTTCTTTTGTATAGATAGACTATATTGACTTTATCTTATCACACAGGTATGTTGATTCCTTTTAAAGAAAGAAGACATAAATAATGGAAAGTCCCATAACTAGCTGTAGGAGCTCTGAGAGACTTAAAAAGAAGTACAGCAAGGTGTTTCATCTACCCGACAGGAAGGAGTATCTGGACACCATAAAAGATGCGACTCCATTGAAGTCCTTCACAGAATTGAGGCCCAGGAAGCTTATTAATTACTTTGTAACTGGGTAAGATATCACTGGTTTTCTGAATAATTAATGGTCAGGCCTAGCTCTGTATATGGTGTGCAGATGACAAGTTTCTTAGTTTCTGGTACTTAGTCTGGTTACTCAAGGACTTTTAACTGTTACCAGGATAGGAAGCTGGCTGGTTTAACCCGTCTAACTTGAAATAGCCTTATGTGTGGTATTGTTATGCTAATGAGCCAGGTAAGCACAATCTGCACATCATCATAAAAACAAAACTTTCCTTAGCCACACTGCGTATCGGCTAGGCGTACAGCTAGGCCTAGCTGAGAATTACGGTACGGTAAAACAAAGCAAATTAAGCGTACACACTTAAACTAATCTACCAATAAAATCACCTGCTAGTTAAGATATAAGGCAAGGATGTTGCGTAAAAGGAAAAAGTGTATTAAAATAAAAAATATTGGCGTTTGTGAGCAATACATTTAAATTTTATATAGGTAGGTAGTAAGTATATGAATAATTTAAATGCACTAGTTAGTTGATAACTTCATTCTAATTTGTTTTGTGTCTTTTTAAAGTAACCAGTACCTGTCTCTTATACACATCTAGATGTGTATAAGAGACAGCTATACACTTTTCAAAATAAATTTTGCTGATTTTGTTCATATTGTCGAATTGAATTATAATTTCCTTACTCTTTTCATTCAGTTGTGTGTGTTTTTTTTTTATTTACTTTCTTTTGACCTTTATTTATTTGATATTCTGTCCAAATACAACAAACTGTATAAAAACTTACTGACAGGTAACACTATCCTTAAATAGAAACAATCACACAAACAATAATTACTCTGCTACCAGCAGCTTGTAAAACCAGAACTACTGTATAAGCCTGCGTTCATGCACAACTCGCCTTCGCATTTAACGGTATGAACCAGCGAGTCGCCTGCGGCCCGTCAGCTTGCATTATGGGATGCAATGTCGGGTCCAACACTGGTTGTGTGGGCCTGGATGCTGGCTGTATCGCCAAAAATCTCATCCATTTCTGTGGGCCGTTCCCTGACTTGTTGTTTTCATCCTTAGCCTGGTTGTATCGTTTTTTAAGTTTTTGCACTTATTGATTATTTAGGCTCTATTAAAGCCAAAGCCCATCTTCGTAATTATCAGCTCGTAGGTTCGTGCGTTCCTCCTTGTCCCATCAAAACCTTCTTGTATCTGGGTAGACCCCCACACACTTATCAGCATGAAAGTTGCCGCTTCTGTCAAGGCGTTTTTTCGATTCATTTTCGGGGAAATTAATAGCGAAGTCCCGAGTAAAGTAAGTAAAAATATAATTTTGCGGGGTAGGAGCAATGCACGTGTTAACTCTTTTGGAGAATTGAGAGAAAAGGGATAGGACTAATGCTTGGGAGGACCCTTATCGCACTCGCAGCATGAGGTAGGCTTATTTTGGACATCCCTCGTTAGTAGGCCTAGGCCTGTAAAAGTCATTAATGTCATCACCGAGGTCACGAGGATTCGCCTCGGGCAACTTTTAACCGGCAAGTTTGGTGGGTTGGCTAACTTGCTTTTCGGCCAGATGTTTTTTCAATTACCCCCGTTCATACTACCTTCGAATTATATTCCCGTTAACATTCAACGGGTAATAACATAGCATGAACGGGCCCTAACTGATTGCTTAGTTTGGTTACCATGACAATAGACTGACACACTGTGCCAGTAATAACCACATAGCCAAACTATTGGTAGGTTCCATTTTTCACTTAGCAAACTTACATGTAGGTTTATGTTAATAATAATTCATTAAAAAATAAAAACAATAATTAATAAACATTTTATGGTATTTTAATTAATTACCACATAGACAATTTAACTGATATTCAGAGGAAGTAGAAAGCAAGTTTAAGAAAAATTTATGCACAGAAAATAAACAACCTTTCACCTAGATTAGTGATGCGTGATTTGTTGTTTTTTTGGATGAGGGCCAACTTCACACTGCCTCTAGACTTGAATCTTCCTTATTGATTGCTGGTGTTGTATTTAGTAATAGATAACACGTAAAATTTATTTATTTATTTATTTATTATTTTATTTAAAACATCTTTAGGCAGGATAACATATACAGACGAGATCTTACCGCTGTTTTACAATATATGGTCCTGCAAAAACACAGTACAATAACAACAAAAAAAAGTAACCAGTACAGTACAATAAAGGACAATAGTAAAAACTTTGGTGAAAAACTATCCCCCACCGGACACCAACTCGGTACTTCTGAGTCAAGGTTTCGGGGCCAGGAATTACAGCTCAAGGTTAAGCTTAACTACAACTTGACTACAATATGGTAAAAACTATCCCCCGCTGAACCCCAACCCGGTATTTCTGAGTCAAGGTTTTGGGGCCGGGATTACAAGGTAGGACAAATACTGTACAATTACTTAAATAGATAAAAATGGTAGAAACTATCCCCCGCCGGACACCATCCCAGTATTTCTGAGTCAAGGTTTCGGTGCTGGGATCATAACTTTTATTGTAACTACAAACCTAACTAAACAATGGTTAAAAAATATCCCCCGCCGGACACCATTCCTGTACTTCTGAGTTTCGGGGCCGGGATTAACCCTTTGAGGTCGTGGTCCGTATCCCATATGGAGTAATTTACTGTCCCTTGATGCGCGGTCCGTATACGGTACGTACCTATTTATAGTTACTATGACGTTAAGGAAATCCCCTAAAAGAGTCAGCAACAGAGGGCAGCATTATTAAAACAATAAGAGACAATGCTTAGCGATTGTATAGAGAAAAAAAAAAAAAAAATTTTCTGTCAGTGATTGATGTACTTGCATAGACGAGGATAGCGGGATTGTTTATATAATAAATAATATATAAATAATATGAATCTGAGGAAAGATTTTAACTAGAAACTTTAACAGCGCAACCAGTAATGCTATGCCTAGGTCTGCAAACGTTTATTTCGGGTTTGGTCATGTACATGGACCCCCCTTCTCATATTTCAATACTCCTACCACCATCTTCTCTATTATTATTATATTATTATTTTATCAAGTGTACTAGTTTTAGTGAAATATATCCTAGGTCCAGTAGTCCACCCTAGTTAGAAATAAGCATAGGCCTAACTAGGCTTACTTGCCCTCTATCGGGGGAGGGGGCGTGTGATAGAGGCCGTTCCCCAAATTTTGACCTCAATGAACTTTGCGACCTTGAACATAAAAAAATCGTCAAATATGAAAACACTTTTTTTATGTAGAAAAAACATATTCCACATAATGCGTAACATTTATGAGCATAGGAATCTCTTTAGTGTCATTTACACAGGGTTTATGAGAAAAAAAGTACCCTTTTTGGGCCCCTAAATTGCAATTTTGGGTCACATGACCTTTGACCTAGGTTAAAAAATGTCTTCTCCCCCCCCCCCCCACATTCTTGAATTTTGATTGGGAGTTTGTTCCAAACTTTTGCTCCAGAGATTTTTAAAGAGCCATTCATTACAGAGCAATTAGGAATTGGGGGGGATAACGTTAAGCGAGTGAGCGTATCTCGTAGAATATCCATGTCAGTCAACAACCATTTCTATATCATTACATAAATGATATAGAAATCATGATTATCCATGGAATATAAATAATAAATTGTTCTAAAATGTTAAATAGAGTGAGTGGTGTAGGCCTATTGAATTTAAAAGGGAGAAGAAAATAAGGTAGGCTTAGCACAGCAAAGTAAAACACATGATCCCAATGCTGCTCAGCGGTGGCTCTAGGATATATTTTCTGGGGGGGGGCTAAGTTGTCCGACAGGGGGGAACTTGAGTTTGTAGGCTCGAGCTGGCGTAATGGCTGAGAGGGGGTCCCCCTCCCAAATGAGATTTTTTTTAAGAATAGCAACTTCTGGATGGCCGGAAATGGCACTCTCGGACTGTGACAGACATGTGTTGACTTGGTGTAGGCCTATTTTTTCAATGTTATATGGTCTGACTGCCCAACGAGCTCTGTCAGGTGGGGGGCTTGACCTGTCCGGTGGGGACTTAAGCTCCCCTGTCCTCCTGCTGGCGCCGCCACTGATGCTGCTACCCTTATTGTCAGTGTCAGGCTGTGGTTTCGTTGGCTACTGGCTTACAGTTCATTCAAATTTACGGAGCTAGAGTGCATTTCCCAATGCTTAGCAACACCTCGTTAATCAGGGATGTAAGATGATGCTGCGTATAAACAATTGATAAACTGAACATTTACCAGTGAATTTATTAGTAAACTTTGGCTTTCTAGTGGAATGGCTAGGCACAAAAACGTAGGCTAACATTTCCAAATTGTCATTTTTCTACTTTTTAAAAAGCGTACACATGCCTTCAACCCCCTCCCCTCAGCGTACGCTTTGTATGCTCGTAAAAATGATGAAAATAATGGATGACCCTTTATATCTTAACTAGCAGGTGATTTTATTGGTAGATTAGTTTGTTTTTAAGTGTGTAAGTATGATTGATTTGCATTCCAAGTAAAATTAGTACTCTTATTTTGCTTTGTTTTACCGCACCGTAATTCTCGGCTAGGTCTAGCTGTATCGGCTAGGAAAATTTTGTTTTTCTGAGCATGTGCAGATTGTGCTTATCTGGCTCATTAGCATAACAATACCACACATAAGGCTAATTCAAGTTAAAACCGCTTAAACCAGCCAGCTTCCTATCCTGGTAACAGTTAAAAGTCCTTGGGTTACTTGTTTGTGTTATTGGTAATGCACAAATGTGCATTGCTTCTCCCCTGTTACAATGTTTTTGGTTAATTTATTTATATTTAGTATCTACAAGGTAGTTTTCCAAAAACCTAAAGGTCCACTGATTAATCTCAGATAAGAAAGGATAATACATACTCCCAATATTTCAACATTAATTATGTCATCATCAGGACCTGATGATGATAATTAATGTTGAAATATTGAATCCCAATACAATGGCATGCATTTCAATACTTGGAGTATGCATTATACTTTCTTATACACAAGGTAGTCTATTCAAGAATTTCAAATAATATGAATGAGATGAGAGAAAAATGTGGTCAATCCACAAAAACATTCTGTACTCATGCGTACAGTAATGATATTTTTTCTCTCTGTTATATGTAGAAGAAGCCGGTACAACAACACAGATGGACAACCGCTTAGTGAAGATGATGATGACCTGCTGGATTTCATCAAAGACTCCAGTGAATCTGATGATTGGGAAGTAGTCCATGAAGGGTCATCTGATGAATCTGTTGAAGAAGAACACAAAAGACAAAGAAAGCCATCAGTTGAATCTGATGAATCAGATTCAGAAGATTCTGATCAATTAATTGATTATGATGAATTAGATGACAGCAATAGTATACTGCCTACCAGAAAAAGAATTCAAACACAGATAAGTTCATCAGATGAAGAAAAGTTGAAGAAGGTGCAGAGGAAGAGAATGAGGCTGAGGAAGAGAATGAGGCCTAAAAGAAAATCAGCTTTTTTAGGTAATTTTTATTCTCATGATGAATTGTCCGAAGACTCGGAGTCACCTTATGAATCAAAGAAATCTTTAAGAGAAAACCGCAGCTCAAAACCCAAAGTTACACAAGGTAAGAAAGAAATAGGAGGAAGGAGATTGACAAGAAGAAAGAGATGGGATGAACCTGTCACTCGATCAGACGATCATGTCTACCAAAGAACAACACATTGTAAAAGGAAAAGAATTACATTTGTTGAAAGCAACAATGAGGAGATGAAACTCAGTGATGTGGAACATTCAGCTCATGCCAAAGAGGCAAATAGCAAGGCACATAAAACACCTGTTAGCGGAAGTTCACCTTATGAGGATGTTCAACCAAAAATAGCAGAAGAAAAGAAAAGAAATGTAATAGATGATGAAAGTGATGAAAGTGATGATGAGATTATTTTTAACTTTAATATCAGATCATCAACTCACCAGGGGTCTGCGCTTAAAACTGAACCAAGTAAGGTCAATACCAGAATGGCGGAAGCTCAAGTAAATACGGTACAGCTCCCAATGTGTGAATCTTCATCTGATGAGGATTTTCATGAAAAGAGAAAAGAAGGAAAGATTAGGAGAATTATTGATAATGACAGTGATGCTGAGGACAACCCGAATGACCAAAGAGAGACATTGATGACGATGAAATTACGATCACAAATTAATCATCCTTCACCAGAAGTGAAGCCACTTGTTGATGATCACAGTGATGATAAGACTTCAAAATACAAAGTATTAATACATCTCGAAGGTATTGGGAATACAGTTGATGCAAAGAAAGTGAGTAACCAGGTAAATATTAATAGAGTATCATCTGTGTACGAGACTCCATCTGATGACAACGTTCAGCCGAAAATTAAAAAAGGAGAAATGGACAAAAAAAAAGCAAAGACTCGAGTACATAAAGCTAAGCAACCCTTGTGTGATTCTTCATCTGATGAAGAGTATCATGAAAAGGGAAAAGAAGGAAAGAATACAAGGATTGTTGATGATGACAGTGATGTTGAAGGCTATTTGAATGATCAAACACAGTCATCAATAAAGACCAAATTGAGATCAGGCATCAGTCGTTCCTTTCCAGAAGATTCTTCGTCTGATCAAGATTTTCAACCAAAGAGAAAAGCAAGAAAGAATATGAGGATTATTGATGACAGTGATGTTAAGGACAGTCAGAAAGAGCAAACAGGTACTTTGACGAGGGCCAAGTTAAAATTACGTGCAAGTTGTTCCTTGTCAGAGGTAAATTCACCTCTGCACGATTCTTCATCTGATGAAGAGTTTCACCACAAGAGAAAAGCAGGAAAGAATATGAGGATTATTGATGACAGTGATGTTGAGGAGAGTCAGAAAGAGCAAAAAGGGACATTGACGAGGGCCAAGTTAAAATTACGTGCAAGTTGTTCCTTGTCAGAAGCAAATTCACCTCTGCATGATTCTTCATCTGATGAAGAGTTTCACCCAAAGAGAAAAGCAGGAAAGAATATGAGGATTATTGATGATAGTGATGTTGAGGAGAGTCAGAAAGAGCAAACAGAGACATTGATGAGGGCCAAGTTAAAATTACGTGCAAGTCGTTCCTTGTCAGAAGCAAGGTCACCTCTGTATGATTCTTCATCTGATGAAGAGTTTCACCCAAACAGAAAAGTAGGAAAGAATATGAGGATTATTGATGACAGTGATGTTGAGGAGAGTCAGAAAGAGCAAACAGAGACGTTGATGAGGGCCAAGTTAAAATTACGTGCAAGTCGTTCCTTGTCAGAAGCAAGGTCCCCTCTGTATGATTCTTCAACTGATGAAGAGTTTCACCCAAAGAGAAAAGCAGGAAAGAATATGAGGATTATTGATGACAGTGATGTTGAGGAGAGTCAGAAAGAGCAAAAAGGGACATTGATGAGGGCCAAGTTAAAATTACGTGCAAGTTGTTCCTTGTCAGAAGCAAGATCACCTTTGCTTGATTCTTCATCTGATGAAGAGTTTCACCCAAAGAGAAAAGCAGGAAAGAATATGAGGATTATTGATGACAGTGATGTTGAGGACAGTCAGAAAGAGCAAAAAGGGACATTGACGAGGGCCAAGTTAAAATTATGTGCAAGTCGTTCCTTGTCAGAAGCAAGGTCACCTCTGCATGATTCTTCATCTGATGAAGAGTTTCACCCAAAGAGAAAAGCAGGAAAGAATATGAGGATTATTGATGACAGTGATGTTGAGGAGAGTCAGAAAGAGCAAACAGAGACATTGACGAGGGCCAAGTTAAAATTACGTGCAAGTCGCTCCTCGCCAGATAAACGTTTTTATACAAAGGAAGCTTAAAATCACATATGATGATAATTATAGTGATTGTGATAATGGTGATGATGAATAAGTATGGTGGTGATGATAATTATTGTGAAAATAATTATGAGAATGGATGACAATAATGATATGATATTAATTAATTATGCAGAGTAATTATCAAGTATAGGCCACTGTACAGTATTAGTGGTAGAGGCAATGCCAGCCTAGCCCATGGCTGACTTGGGCCAGGGATCTACCAGTGGTCAATATCCATTGGTCAGAATGTCAGTTCTGGAAGACAATTTGATTCCATATCCGGAATGTTAACTTTAAGTTGATATAACATATGTACAAAACATAAGCTTAACAGGGTAGGTACCTCTATAGCAAAAGCCTAGTCCTCAGTGTATATTGGGAGACAATCCTCTATTTTGGTTCGTGTGCCAAGTGCTTTTTGTGCTACTACTCTGGACACTTGACCATTTGCTTCATGTCACACCTAACACTTTTACAAAAAAGCAGGTTGTATGCAAAATTCAGTCTCTCTGGTGGTTGGGATGGCATGCAAAAACTGAGGATAATTGGCTGTGGTTAGGAGTCTTTTCAAGACGGGGTCCTGTCCCTCTTTTGGGTGCTACCGTTCTCCATGCCTTGCATGAAATGATTTAAGGGCATCTGTATAATATTACATTATAGTATGAATTAATGAATTTGTGATGACTACGGCAGCGATGATGATGTTGGTTCGTTAACAATTCATTTATGGAATTCAAATGATTAATGGATAACTACATTCAATAATAACAGGATTAATTTGAATTGAATTACTGTGTATATTCCTGAAAACAGAAAATAAATTTGATATATTGAGAAAATACCCTGCCTCTTTATCATTTTTAATCTCTGAAGTCATCTGTAGGCAACCTGGTAAGGCGATACTTTTTTTATACCATGTTTAGCGAACCCGCCACCCGTCAATAGTGATTTCAAATAAAAGAAAAGTTTATTTTTGACCAATTAACGCACACCCGCCGCCACGAAAAGAGGGGAATTTTAAAAAATAAAGTTTTTTTCTTTTTATTATGCTGCTGCTGCCTTGAAATCTTCAAAAATAAGAAGATATGTATATTTCTTCCTATTACACAAATTTTAAGCATTTAACCATCCAATTACAGTACTACACTGTCTACATTCACCAATATATTTTTATTTTCTCTTTCTGATGTTTTTGGCAAATTATTTGCTAAATAAGAAAACAAAATTTTATTTTTATTTATTTTTTTCGCCCTCTGACAATCTTTAAAAAAATAAGGTCGTGAAACAAGGTATAAAAAAAGTCTCCCTCGAAAAGTTTCAAGATAGCCGCTAGGCATATAGCATTTGAACTGTACATGAATTTAAAAGAAACAAAATATATTAAAAACAAGCTTTTGGTTTATTCAGTAGTTTAGGTGATTAATGCCAGTTAGTACACTCTGTGATACAAATTCAATGTGGCCTTATTGATTGTTTTATAGTACAAATTCCCAAAAGTCACAGCATTCATTTTGAAAAGAAGCCTCTTTCTCCCCCCCCCCCTCCTCTTTACTTTGCAAAAGTTGCCGCGAAGTCCATGGCTTCAATTAAAGTTTTATGGTATGTTATGTTGTCTTGGAAAAGATGCTGTTTTAAGTAACTCCGATAATCTTATGTACCTACTCCACATACGGATAGCAGAAACATGAGGGGCATAGGCTGGTTTCATTCTGGGGTTGCAAAATTTGAGAATGTGGAGAGGGTGGGGGGGGGATGGAATTTATAAAGCGGAACTAAATTCCTATTCCAGTCAAAAGTTAATGGTTACTTTTTGTTATTTTAACTCACTTCTATAGTCACTAGTGTAGTGGAACTAATTTGCTGCCATGGGGAAGGGGAGGGGGTTTGTTTAGAAACGTTCGACCATGACACTATACCAGACTTCTCAAGTACTGTACGGTACCACTACTACATTACTGAAGTACGGAAAGACAAATCCTATGGAAATGTATAGCCTAGACCCATAAATAAATAGGTAGGGCTAAATTCCATAACAAATGACTTTTCCAACAGGATAGCTACATATTGTCAGGGGCGGATGCAGTAGGGGAACGTTCCCGGGCACGTTTTGCCGGCGAATTTCCCCCCCTCCACGTTTTGCCACTAATTTTTAAATTTCAATGCATAAATGTTATGTTCTACTCGATTCTGCCCTGTTTGAAAAATTCTGGATCTGCCCCGATTGTTCAAGACAACTCATTTTCAGATTACTGTGATAAATTATTGTGAAAAAAGGAATAAGAAAGTGACCCGTTGTTTGAAATTCCACAGCTCAGGCCCGTACGTAGCGTGACTTAATCCTCCCCCCTCCCCGCCTCGCTACGGGCCTGCTGAGCTGGGGTTATCTTGTACGTGCAATATTTAAGCCACCCCATATTTTGCGCTCAAGCAAATTGTTTGGTGCTACTGAAACTTTGTATTCTTTGTATTTACAGATTTGTTGAAGACTTGATTACAGGGTAGGCCTACTAATGTCTAACTTGACTATGATCATATACAAGACTTTATATGATATCGAAAATTAACTTGTTCTCTCTCTCTTTTTCCTTTCTTTTCTTCCCTTTACTTCTTCAATTTTTGGGGCACTGTCTCCCGTGGCTCCCTGGATTCTCCAGGCTGAAATATGAGAAGAAAACCCTCAAATAATAATAAGTTTTTCGGTGTGTAGGTTTATCAAGTTTCTCTAGATAGCATGGTGATCGATGAATAAACATGCCGTGCGGTCATGCGTAACAACAGAAATACAGTTTGTCGACGTGGTGGTTTGGAAAAGAACAGCCATGGATTCCTACTTAAATTTGTTATCAAATGTCACAATCTTGTGTACAGTATCTATGTTTGCCGCAGGAATGTAAGTGTATGCTTAGGGCGTCCATACTGGTCATTTTAACTAAAACAGAAATGAAGGTGCAGGACTGTAAATGTTAGGCTAGGCCTGATAAACGACTTCACAGCGCAATCGTTGTTTACTACCCTGTGGACGTCCACAAGGCCCTTAGCCTATGTTGGGAAGCCTACTAATACTATAGATCACCTTATTTTGCAAGCTAGTGCCACCTCAATTCACCTTCACCCCCCCCCCCCCGGGTTTCACGGAGTTGGGGTTGGGTCATCAGAGCTACAAAAATGCACAGTAGTAGTAATATAGTAGCATACAGCACTCTCCCAATACCGTATACAGTGGCAGATCATGGGGTTAAAAGGGTGTTCACTGTTAGGACCAACGTGTGAAAAAACGTAAAAAAAAAATACTACTGGTCGTAGTCTACAAAAGCCATGCTAACCTACCTAGGCATAGGTTGGCAGATCGGACAAACAACTAACCTTCAATTAAACTGTTTTGGCGATGTTGGAAACATAATTTTTTGTACGAAAGTGTATTATTCATGCCTATTGGTTCATCGATCCATGGAATATGTAGACCTAACCAACTACTCAATATTGGAATATTTTTTTTCTGAAATAGGCCTACTTACTGTAATAAGAATGAGATAAAATTACCTGACCATTCTTAAGAGAGGAAAAACCTTGAATTTTGAAGAACTTAAAAAGTCTTAAAAGCCACCTCAGAAGTCGGGAAAGCTCATTTCTGGCCATCTAGGAATCAAAATTTTTTCGGGGGTGTACCCCGACCCCCCCCCCCTTTCTTTTGGTGGTTTTTTGGAAACATTTTGAACCCACCTCCTTCAAATCCTGGATCCCCCCTAGATGTGCCAGTACAATTTCAAAGCAGTTTTCATTAGTACTACTGTATTCTATTTAGATAAGCAGGAAATATCGCATTGCATTTTTGTGTTAATAATTCATTTCTTAAGACAGAGAGGTTTAAAGAAATGGGTGACCTGGATAAAACGATTATTTTTCAGTACAGTTGTAAATATAAATGTAAAGTATTTTAAGACGTTTGGGTTTTTATTGTTTTACTTCTGACTTTCGCGATGCAGGCTCGCTGATGCTGCCCTGGGCAAAAACAAACCTTACCCAAACCAATGATCAGCTCAAAATGTCCAACAACTTGGCACAGCATACAACTTGCCCCAACTAACAAGTCAGACTAAAATTCAACTCTGGCCAACCTACCCATATTTTATATCTCTCTCAAGTTTATATAAATTTTTATGAGCATCTGTAAAATTCTGAAAACATCCCCATTAGTATACCTTAATATGATTTCAATCAGATCAAAGTAGATGCACAAACTTTGTGAATGTCGTTTTGTGTTGTCAGATATGATCAATGAACACAAAGTGTACACAAAGAATTTCCGGGCGTAGTCTCAAGTCTGTAAAATTTGTTTAACTTGGAATCTTTGAAGTATAATATTGGCAGACACTCTCTATCGTAGCAAGATCATAACCAATGCACTGCACTCTCGTGGCTGAATGTAGATATTTGCAGTATATAGATTTCGATTCGTTCTGTTTTTTTTTTCAGTCCTTCATGTTTATCCATTTATCGGACTGGAAGCACACAGAATGTCCCTTACCTCCCCTTTTTGATGACCTTAATAAAGTAAGTTGAAGCATTCTTTTTTTCTTTTTTAAATTGGAGCCCTGAGAGGAGAGATGTGATCTACTAATTTTGACTGTTAGAATTTTATCCAAACCTGAGACAATAGTCCACACTAAAATTTAAATGGCTGTGATACAGTATATATCAGTGATATTCTATAACTTCCCAGGAGTATCACCCAGTACAACAAGAAGAAAAGTAGAAAATATTGTAATTTATTTATAAAGGTTTAATATTGATAATGAAAATTCTATTTAAATTGTAAACTTTTGTATCTGTTTTAGATATTTTCATATTTATTTTTATACAAATAAGACAAGTATATAAATATTAAATGAGAGGAATTTTTTTTTATCTTATTTATGTTTTATCGCATGAACATATTTCAATAATTTTTGTATTTAATTTAATAAATATTTTTAAATTATTGTTTAGGTATCATTATTTCAATTTGGTTTTCTCTCATTTTCAGTAACCTTCTGTGGTTCTATTATGGGATATTAAAAGTAGACTCCACTCTCCTGGTGGTGAATGGCATTGGTGGTTTTCTACAGGTTACCTATATGGTGGTGTATTTGTATTTTGCAGTTAGCAGAGTAAGTACATAATCAAGAGGAGGATAATGTAATATTTCAAAATTATTAAAAAAAGAAAATTATATTCAAATGCAAGTCTGAGTGTGTCATATTTGTAATGTTTTGAAATTATTAAAAAACGAAAATTATATTCAAATTTAAGTCTGAGTGTGTCATGTAATATGTAATATTTCGAAATTATTAAAAAAAAAGAAAATTATATTCATATTTAAGACTTTAGTGTGTCATTTCCGGCCCTCTAGATGTGCCATAATCTTAATTTTTCCTGATCAAGACCCACCATCTGTAAAAGTCCCTCCCTGGGCCCCCTCTGTTTGAAATTTCTGGATCCGCCATTGGTAAGCGTACACGTAGATACTCATTACTTATTAAGATGTATAACATTTCTATCTTGTAGATGAAGGAGATGCAGCAGACATTTTTAGGAATAATTTTCATGCTTTCTGTGTATTTTTTGCTACAAAACTACGTGGTTGAGCCCAAAATGATTGAAGATCGCCTTGGACTGACTGCAAGCACGATAACTGTACTTATGTATGCATCTCCACTCGCAGAAATTGTAAGCTAATGATGATATTGTATATTTAAGTTTAATTTAGATTTTTTTGTGTAAAATGCATTTAAAATTATAATTCCCAAGGCCTTTTAATACAGTGTGTCATAATACTAATGATGGACGAAGATTATGATGACGTTGGCGGTGGTAACAACTTTATTATTATTTTCATCATCATTCATCATGCAATATTATATTAAGTGATAACTTTCTCAAATACTAACAAAAGTCTTGTATTTACATAAATTTATTTAATAATTTTAATCTTATTGTAGTATTATATCCTTTATTTATTTAACAATTGTTTACAATTTTGAAGGCTGAAGTTATCAGAAGAAAGAACAGTGCTAGTATATCACTTGCTCTCACCATCACATCATTAGCTACATCTTCACTATGGTTCCTCTACGGCCTGTTGCTAAGAGACCTTTACATTCAAGTAAGTACATAAAAAAAAAAATGCACCACTAGTTGTTTCACATAATTGACTTTGAATTTAAATTATTTATTTTAATAATCGTTAGACAATTGATAATACAGTAGTTAAAATATGTAAAATAATGAATTTTCCGGGGATGGGTTATTTTCCGGAAGATTTTTGCTTTCTTGAGAGCGTGTGGGAGGCTGTCTCAAATTTTTGAGGATTTTCCCCCGACTTCCGGGAGACTTGGGACCCCCCGAGTAAACTTGAGTAGATGTGGAAATTGAAACCGGCAACATTTTATGTATTCTTCAAACACCGTCAACTCCGTATTTGGCAGTTGTTCTTCCCAGTGATGTACTGTAAGATCAGAACCTAACAACTGTTATTTAATATTAGGGGTAGTAATGTATTGATACCAAATATCATTTTTTTCTTGTGTTTTTATTAAGTTTTTACTAACCACTTACATTTCACCCTTTTATTTTTTTCAACCCCCTCCCCCTACATTCTTTCCTCTTACTTTCCTAATCACTAATTTATTCAGCTGTCTTCTGTACCAACACATCAACTCCAGGCAATCTGTTTCCTTCTCCGATTTTTCCACTTAAGAATATTTTTTGTTGCTTTAATAATTTGGTAAAGAGATTGGCCGTATTCGACTGGTCGTTCTTCATTAAACCACACTCACCTGCGCAGCGGTAAGATCTTACTTAACGAATATGACCAGTCGAATGGAAAACTTGTAAATACAGGACAAAACAAAATGACTGCATAGTTACCACAATACACGCTGTGTAATCAAGATTGCTTTGGCTCTGTGGCAGTATGGGTTTTTTTCGTAAAAAAATGTTTTCATCCAGATTTTGAATTCTGTTAGCCTAGAATTATTTTTTGACTTCATGTGGGTAAATATTATAATTTTTATTTTCTGAAATTTAATCAAAATTATGTTAATGCAAATATTGTTTCTAAACTACCAAAAGACCATGTTTGTTTTGGTCACATGGATAACTTAACCCTGATTAATGCACTCTGGGAACGTTAATTTTTGTTGTCAACAACGTCTATTTTAGGAACCAGTTGAATGAAAATAATACTCAACGAAAAATCGTAGTCAACGAAATGAACCAGTTGAATAAGCCCGATGATGAATGAATGAATGAGTTAATGAATGAATGAATGAAGGAACGAATCAAATCAAAACATATATTGACTTCCTCTTCATACTCAAGCATTATTATTAATATAACAAAGAGAAAATGCAAATTGTATACATACTAAATTGATAAACATGGAAAAGGAAGAAGGCACAGATGAAGATAGATAATTGACTGATCAGCCTGGAAATGAATGAATGAATGAAAAACTAAGTGAATGAACAAACAAATACATGAATGAACAAATGAAAGCATGAATGAACAAATGAATAAACTGACAAATGAGAGTAAGTCATACACATTGTAAAATGAATAAGTATCTGTATTTTTAAGGACATTGTTTTGCTTGCATGCCTACTGTAAATGTTCATAATTTAGTAATGGTTCAGGGATTCTGTAAAGAACAATTTTTCCACTTCAACAACCCCTTTTAGCCCTCTATATTAATTGTATGTTTGTAATGAATTATTACAATGGCTCAGGGATGGCAATCAGCACCTTCTGTAAATCATAATTTTCTCCTTAAAAACCCACTTTATCTCTCTATGTTAATTTTGTGTGCATGCAGGTCCTTTTATTTGTTGATAAGTGTTTTTCTTCTGAGAATTTATCTTGTAGTTTTATCTAAATTTTCTCCTAACAGGTTCCAAATTTGCTAGGCATACCAAGCTGCCTATTGAGGTTGTTTTTGCTTTGCAAGTACCAAGGTTCCACTAACCAGTATGTCTACAATTTTTTGCATTTCCGATTCTTTCAAAATTTGGCAGAGATTTTTGCAGTAGGGAATAGGGAATGTTTTCTCCCTACAGGGCCCTAAAACAATTTAGTGTGCTGTGATGTAGAGTTAGTCAATCATCAGAATGCTATTAGCACCAGACTATGCATCATTTAGTTTTTGTTCTGTAAATTTTCCTTCAGCTAACCCACTCAAATTTATATTAGATGTTAGTTTACTGGTATACATTTAAGTTGTGTTTTGCACTTAACTGTTCACTGCCTCTGAATAATAATATATAGAGTAATACTGTTTACTGAATACTAAAATTATAATTCTGAAGCATGCATTTAACAATATCAACGTGACATGATGCTACTCACTCTGGCATGTTGGCGCATTTTTATTAATGCACGAGCATTTTGAAAAACAAAAATACAAAAGGCAAGGCGTCTTTAGTGCGCCAATTTCTGTTTAGGTTCTGAATCGTGTGGTCAAGAATTCGAACCATGCTGTTCATGCTTAGATACCCCAGCTTACTTTGTTGCTCCAACTCTTTCTCATTTAGAATCTTGTTAAAACTCACCTTTTTCCATAGTTCATACTTGTTAAGCGCCGCTGTGAGACTCCGGCAAAGAGCGCTATATTAAATATTATTATTATTGATGGGCTGTGAAATGGTAAATGTTGTTTTAGTGTGAATATTTCATGGCTAATAATAGATAAAATTCATTAATACAGTTAAACTTGCCTAATTCGACTTCCCCTAACTTGAATAATTTCTAAGTCGATCTTATTTTACATATCAAATTGTTGTGTTTTCTCGTAAATAACCATCTGTAAGTTGAATTTTATCCAAGTCGAACAATTTTTCAATGCCATTTTGGATTCGACTTAGGCAAGTTCAACTGTCTATAAATATGTACATAACTCATACCTTTTGTACAGCTGGCGTAGGTCATATATACATCGTCTGACAACTAATTATTGAATAGACTGCAATTAAATACCTCCTTGCTGTAACCTGCCCTGTCGGTTATTTTGTCAAGATTACTGAGGAAAATTGTTTTTCTCAGTTTTCAATCGCTGAAGTCTGCCTTATTCACATACATGCAAAATGCACTCTTAATTCTCTGTTGTGTAGTGCATGTGTATGTCATTTAACTACCTTTAAATATGTCCAACTGTGTGCAATTGAAATCATGCTTTACCATTAACTGAAAGAAAGAATAAATGCAATTAGGCTATATAGCAGCCAAGCTCCTGACCTTTCGTTATACTCCAACATTTATAACGTAGTCCACCACTTAAACCATCCAAAATACAGTGCACCCTTTAATTCGAGGCCCTTCTAATTCTGAGACTTGGGTAGCTGTCTCCCCCCCCTTAAATCTGAGATCATTTTTCCCAAAGAACCGAATAACAAGCTTTAATCTTTTAACACAAATATACCCTTCTGTGTTGAGAATGAATCTGAGACCACCCTAAATTTTCCAGTCCCAAAGGTAGAATTGGAGGGCAAACTGTGTAATGCTTAAAATGTGCCATCCATTTTGAATAACATTTATAAAATAACATGTCAATGTTTTTTTCTTTGTAATTTTCATTTGTTGCTATAATATTATTTTTATCCGACACTAATATTTTTATATATTTTTTTTACTATGATATTTTTCAATTTTTTCAGATACCAAACCTATCAGGCATAACATCATCCATCATCCGTTTGATGCTTCTATATGTGTATCCAAAAATCCAGGTGTTAGTAGATTCCAAAGAAAAGGGCGTATAGGTTACTGGATCGCCAAGAAATGATGAAACAAGACATAGATGACAATTCTTAAGCTCACTCCACACTACCAAATTTTATGTTGTATGCCCATATATAGTAGTGATGTGCCTATATATGGACATGATCTGATCATCGTGACCATAATTAGGAATGTATACTTGATTGCCTATGTATGGAAGAGTTTAATGATCTAATGGGGCATTTATAAATCTGGAACAAGGTGTTTATGTGATAAACGCCTGAATTTCTTTAATGTCTTGAAGACTGTATAATTTTTTTTTTTAAAGTTATGTGTACTACAAGTTCGTTTGGCATGGGTTTATGTTTACTTTACTTTTACTTTGTGGTTTCTATCAAAGAGTTGTGATTGGAGACCAAGGCTGTCACAACTTGTGTCCTTAGCAGGGGTCCCAAGTGTGAATAAGTGACTTCTGGAAGATCTTGTTGAATGAGCATTCTTAACACATCTGAGTTTATTTTGCTACTCATGGTGATACCCATCAGCACTGA